CCCAAGCCATTCTCCCAATCCTTGGCTATTGTTTCTAAGAAGCCAGCTGACTTCTTTAAAATGGTTGCTTATTAAATATCCTGAGTTTTCAGGGCTATAACTCCACTTCCAGCCAGCATTTTAATGTGTTTCAGATTCCCGTCATGGAATGTAATCTAAGTCCTCTGGACTCTCCAATACACCAAGAGGAGTTTCTTCCCACAACTTTTCCTACACTGACTTCTGCAGTAACCCCTCCTCTATCCCTGCCCAGAGCCCTAAAGTCAAAGGTGACTTGAACTCCCAGCCCTATTAAGGAGTTTGCTCCCTTCTGGTAGCTTCTATCATCTTACCTTCTTGTTTTTCTATGTCCCCGGTAGTTTCATCTCAGTTGGCTTTAAGGCTTATCTTTATTCTTCTTGTTGGAAATTTCTTACTGTTTAATATTGGCACTGATCTTTCCTCACTGTTCTGCGCTTACATACCATCACTTTTATGGTTTAAATTACCAACAATATGCTCATGACTTTTGTTTTTTACTAAAGGGGAGTGTTAGTTTTGCTTTATTTCTTAATTTAAAAAGAACTTATGTGTATAGTGGTTTGTACACTGTGTATGCAGTGTCTGAGGCCAGGAGGAGGCATGGATAGTTTGAGTCACCATGTGTGCTAGCAACTGAACCCAGGTCCTCTGCAAGAGCCTCTGAGCCATCTTTCCAGCTTTAAATGTGTGTGTATGGGTATGCTATGATGCATAAGGATGTCAGTCTTTCCATCATGTGGGTCCACAAGAATTTAGGTTTGGTGGCATCAGGCTTTGCTACTTGCCCCCACCCCTGTCCCTTTGAGATAGGCAAGGTCTTATGTAGTTCAGATTGGTCCCAAAGACCCTATGTAGCAGGGAATGACCTTGAAATCCTGGCCCTCCTGCTTCTACTCCCAAGTGCTGGGGTTACAGCTGTGCTGCCAAGCTCAAATTCATGACTCCTAAGTTTTCATCTCAGCACCAGGCTCTGCTTCTGAGCTCCAGATTCATCTAATTACCTTCTCAGCATTTCCACTTGACAGTCTCAAAAGAAATAATTCCAGCATTTCTGGTTCAACTTCAGATATTTTTTTTCCCCTCACAAATTCCTTCCTTACATTTTCTGTCAGTTGCTTCACTATTTAACTGGTGTAAATATGGGCTGTGTGGGAATAAATTAAGGTTCTGGCCGGTGCCCTCTTCTGGCTTGTAGGTGTCTCCCATCATGGAATGTTTGGTGTCTCCTCTTTGTGGAAGGGCATTGGTTTTTGCCATGGCAGAACTTCATTTTATCATTTCAATGGACTAAACAAAAAGATTTAGATTTCATTACATCTTAAATTATATGCATGCACATCTGTCTGTATGGGGCAGGTATGTCACATGGGTGCATGCTGCATCTCTCTGGTGCTGGAGCTATGGGCGGCTGAGACGGGTGTTGGGAATAGAACTCAGGTTCTCAGCAGGAGTGCTAAATTACTGCTCTTAACCACTGAGCCATCTCTCCAGGTCCCACACAGGTAATTTTACAGTTTGCCTTTGATTTTATTTTTAATGTTTATGTAGTCAACGAACCAGTTTTTTAAACCATGGTTAAATGGAATGGTGTTTTTGTCCACATTTAAGTACCTTTCCATCATATTCATCTGCCTGCCTACTTTATTTAGTTAATTTAGCCTCTCTATGTAGTCCTGGAACTCTTTATGTAGACCAGACTGGCCTCCAACTCACTGACAGCCCTATATCTCTGCCTCCCAAATGGTGGGATTAAAGACATGCACCACAATGCCCAGCTACAATCATCTGCTTAAGCTTTGATTTCTACGTCACACTTAAGGCCTGAGAGTAAGAATCTAGCTTTCAAAAGTCACAAAAAGATTTGGGATCAACAGAGAATTTGCCTAACAGATACAAAGACTAATGGCCATTAACCACCAGCCTCCTCCCAACTGATGTATTAAGCCCATACTTTATAGTAAAAGTAATTTTCCACAGGTACTCACTAATGATATTTTGTGATTCACCACTTTATTGCTCTACTCTGTAGCCTCATGTTTAATACCCGAGGCTAATAACTTCCCACGGGCTCCATGACAATTTTCAGGTTTTCTGATTTTTTTTTTTGTCCTACATGTTAATTCTTTCAAATTCATTTTTAAAAGCATTTTCCATTCCAATTGATTGCAAGTTCCTACTGGGAATTTTCTTTTTTTTTTTTTTTTTTTTTTTTTTTTTGGTTTTTACGAGACAGGGTTTCTCTGTATTGTTTTGGAGGCTATAGGCCCAGCCAGGCCTCAAACTCAGAGATCTGCCTGCCTCTGCCTCCCGAGTGCTGGGATTAAAGGCGTGCGCCACCACCGCCCGGCACCTACTGGGAATTTTTATTTCCATTAGAATTACAAATTACCTTGGTGGGAATTATGTAAGACTTTAAGAACTAATATTCATGTGCTGTTCATTTAATTAATGTCTGAATATACATTTTGCTGTTTTTCATGCTTCTGTATTTAATTTTGAGGATAGGATTTATGAAGCCCATGCTCTCCTCGAAGCTATGTCTAAGGACGGATGACCCCTAGTGTTAGGATTACAAGTGTTTACCACCATGCACTGTTTGGCATACATAGGCTGTACTCTACTGAGCTTTATCCCCTACTCCTTCATGTTTATTTATTCTTAAGTATTTTCACAGTATTACCAATGCCTCACAAATTTAATGTTGTATTTCCATTATATTCAGCTTAGATTTTGAGATTGATAGCTTAGAAATGGAGATTTTACTAGTCTTTTTAAACTTGATGCCACTTTAGTTAGAAAATAATTATTTCAATTGTTTAGACGTACTGAAATTTATTTTATGGCCAAGAATATGGGGTTTATCATAGTTTGCATTTGATGAACACTTGAAAAAGGATAGGCTTTCTGTTGATATTAAGTGGGCTGTAATAAGACCTTGTTGGTTTAAAAATGTCACGAAGTTCTGACTTCTCTAGTCACTCTATCAAGAAAGGGATAGTGGAATCAGCAGTTAAGAGCTCTTATTGGTCTTCCAACAAGAAGGGTCTGGCATCTTCCCTCCTCTCAGCTGGGTGTGTTTGAGCTCTTTCATCTTGTATATTAACCTACGGCTTCTGTCTTGACAGACTAACCCTTTGTCACATAAAGTTCCTTCTTGCCTTTGATCTTGGTTCTGCTTTTTAGTGTTTCTCCTCTCTGATGAGGATTGAACCCTAGTCCATGCTCATAGCAGATAAACACTCTCTTACTGAGCTACACCCTCGGACCTGCTTTTTAGTTTTTAGGGCTTGGCATTGATTAAACCTAGGCCCTCCCACAGGCTAGGCAAGTTGTCCCTAGTTTTTGATCTCTAGAATGATAGTATAATTAAAAAAATTTTTTTTGAATACGACTGTACTCAGGGCTCAGATATGTTAAGCATGTGTTCTAACACTGAGTTACATCCCTAGGTCCCCAGGTGACTTCTATAAGCTGGTAACTCCATAGACTTCTTGCTTACAAATAACAGAAAATTACTTAGGCTAGCTTAGGTTTTGTAAGAAACGTACAGTAATAGCTATACTACTGCTATGAAGAAGGGCCTTGCATCTCTCTAGGTAGGCAAAAAGACTAGACAGTTGCTCTCTGGCCCTGGTTACAATAGTTATGTGATTTAAACTCAACCCTTCAGGGTCTTATCCAACTTAGTACTTTGAAATAGGGGGAAAAATGAAGTTGGGGACAATCTGGAATCTATCCCGGCAGTGGTGAGAATTTCAATGTGTAGTAACTAAGTGGTAGATTCTAGACATGTACTGTTGTGTGGTGATCTCATCATGCATTGTATGCTCTCTAGTCTCATCTAGTTTCTGTTCCTTTTCTGTTTCCCCAGCCTCCCAATTCAGAAAATTTTACTTTGGTGATGCAAATCAAAGAGCAGAGAGCTAGGCGAATCGAGCCCATAATCCTAGCATTTGGAAGCAGATAAGAATTAGGAGTTCAAGGCCACCCTGTGCTACACGAGACCTTGCTACTCCCAAGCTCTACTACTAAGCACCCTCAAAACCCATAACCTTCCCAAATCAGAACATTACCTATTATTTGCTAGGTCAACTCTAAGTAAGCTGGGTTCCTGAGTTTACTATATGTGATAGTATTATCACTAGATTCTGATTCCCAGAGCCCGAGACTTTGAGACAATAGTTATTGTGATGTCAGGGGAAGCTCATCTGTAAAACGACAGGGTTGGACTAGACTAGGTAATTTCCAGGTCTTTCTGTACATAGCCAGATTCTAACGGGCCTTCTTGTTCCTTTTTCACTGTATAGGCAACTATCCTGTTAAAATTAACTGATAACTATCAAGTCCTGCCTATCTGACAACTTTGGGTACTATCCTGGAGAAATGGGTGCATGGAATCTTTAGTGTTAGCAAAGTGAAAAGATTCAGCCAAAAGATGTATGTAGACTGTCAGAAAGTCTTTCTTAAATGGAAAAGGACACCAAACAGTTGGCATTCTAGAGGCAGAGGCAGGCAGATCTCTGAGTTTGAGGCCAGCCTGGTATAGAGTGAGTTCCAGGTTGGTCAGGGCTACACAGAGAAACCCTGCCTTGGAACAACAAAACAAAGTTCTGACAGTCACACAAAACACTATGAATAGAGACAAAATGAATTATCAAGTTTTTCAGAGACTAGAGATTATTTCTGAAAGAAAAAATGTTCTGCTGTTTTGTCCTGGTAGAATAAAGGAGGGAGTGGACACTGTAGAAAACGTATCACAAAGTGAGGAGGTCAGGAGCTGAGTAGGCTGGCTTTGCCAGATGGAAGCTGTCCAGTGTGAATTAATGCCAGTCACTCAAGATGCCTGTGACAACTTGGTCTAATCAAGCCAATGTTCCAGAGCACAGCGTACAGAACTGGCTACAAATGACCATTATACATGCATCGGGTAGTGCCCACCCTTTGGGGCACAGTGAAGAAGTCACTCTGCTTTGACCCAGGTCTTGATGAGTGCCTCGTTCCTGGGAGCCCTGTGTCTTTTCTCGTCTGTCTGTGTTGTGTGCGCCATCTCTGCATTTACTCTCCCCATTGAGACCAAAGGACGCGCCTTGCAGGTAAGTGACTCCGGAAGCTAACTAAGAATTTAGTTCATCTGTTTTCACGTAAAAGCTAGTTTGACAAACAGGGGGCTGGGTTGAAACATTACTGCAGAGCCTTTAGATGCAACAGACTAGCTTCCTTTCCCCAATACTCACTGTGAGTGGCAAAAGCTTCAGTGTAGCTTCCCTAGGCCAGCTGTGTAGGCTGCAGCTTTGGGAGGCTTTACCTGACATCATGTTGTAGTGGTTTCCTCGTCTACAACAGGCTGGAATGTGAGCTTTGGACACCTACAGCCTGTAATTTCCATCTGCCACAAGTAAATTGACCTCAGGTTCCACTGCATCGGGAATAGTTCCAGAGCTACATTAAGCTCATCTATCTAAAACGAAGCCTGCCTGAGCAAACTCCTTACCAGACCATCATGGCACTGACCAGGGAAGGGACCATTCATACAGTCTGGTGACCCCTAAGGGCTTACCCCGTTCCCCATGGAGTTCTGGTGCTGTGGATGAAGGCAGGGCACAGGGTCCTTAACACACCTCTGTGCTCAAGGCCCTGGGAACTTGGGACTGTGCCCTTCAACATGGAGCACAGAAGTCAATCTAGACCTGGCTATCCCTGAGAAAGGGGTCTGACATGAAAGGAGGGTCTGGGGACTTTCTGCCTTACAGCAGCCACCCCATCACTGAACGCTTCCATCAGGCAAGATGACTCATGTGTTTCCTTTCAGTATTACAAAGGACCACCACACCCTTTACACAAAGGATTACTAGGGTACAGGTTGGGCAAATTTTTATACCAAAGTAAAAAACACCAAATCTTATGCTAATTTTCCATTCTCTTCCAAAATTTCCATTTCTTACACTTATGGTGAACTCCCTGTCTCAGCCTTCCAAGTGCTGGGGTTATTAGGAGTGGGCACCACAACCGGCTCACAATTTTAAAAGCAGTTTTAGAAATAAGAATGAGGAAACCTAACAGGCCACATTATGTGCCCTATAGATTTTCCAACTCATATCCACCTACAAAGCCAGTTCTTTTCCTGGGGCATGACCCAAGAACTCAGCATGGGGACACTGGAGAATGTTAACATTGCACAATACATACGTATCTGAACACACCCCGGCCACTCAGTGGTGGTATTTCTTCAGAATAATTAAACACACATACACACACACCTCACTTCTGTGATCATATGAACATTTTTTCAAAACCAAGAAAACTGCAGCAGTCATCTGATTGGAAAAACCAACTTGCTCACTAACTTAAAGGTAGTGTTGAGTCAACAAACAAACAAACAAACAACATTTCACCATTAGGCTGGGCAATGGCAGCAGTGCACACCTTTAGTCCTGGCACTCTGGAGGCAGAAGTAGACAGATTTCTGTGAGCTCCAGGCCAGCCTGGTCTACAGAGTGGGTTCCAGGACAGCCAGGGCAGTTACACAGAAAAACAAACAAAAATTCAGCCATTAAAGAATGTTTGTAGTACCAGACATAGTGATACACACCTTTAATCCCAGCACTTGGGAGGCAGGTGATTTGAGCTTAAGGCCAGCCAAGACTACACAGAGACTAGCATTGTCATTTCATAAATAAGGGTAAATGATAGATCTTAACTCCTTGTAAATTGTATTATGAACAAAGACTTACCAACTAATTTCTTTTTTTCTCTTGTAGCAAATTAAATGAGGACCTACAATACTATGGTTACCAGAGGAAAAATGAATATTTGATCTTCACTGTTACTTTTTTTTTTTTTTTTACCATTTTATTTCTGCACGTGGTAATTAAGACAAGTGTATTTTAAGACAACCAAGGCACACACACAAATGAAGTGGGGAATCTCTTTCTTGGGAAATTATATACGCAAACCTCTTTAGGATATACTTTGCCTCAAATCCCAGCACATAGGAGGGGATAGGAGGGTCTGGAGTTCAAGGTCATCCTCAAATGAAGCAAGTTTGAGACCAGCTTGGGTGTCTAAAACCAAACAAACTCAACCACCTACCACCAACTAAACCACTTATACACACACACCCCACCCCCAAACAAACCAATACACCCAGAGACTGAATGGGAATAGGAGAAGGTGGTGGGTGGAGAAATACCTTTTCTTACTTGGCATCAACTACTACTTTTTTTTTTTGGATCAACAACTACTTAACCTTAGACAAAACACTTGGTATTGTTCCACATGGTCTGTGGTTGAAGGACAGAGATTCTGTAGTTAAGGCAAGAAACTAGGCTTGCATCACTGAATTTAAAATATGGCCTTGGTAGCTTAAAAAAAGAACTACTACTTATTTGGAATGTAACTACCAAGAAGTTGGGAATGAAGTTAATGTTTTCCATACACTGTTAACTCTTTTTTAATCTTCGGAGGGAATCAATCATTGGTTCTCATGATGCACGTGCAGCTTTCCTAGAACATGTAACTACTTACATATTGTTTGTAGGTGTTGGCTATGCATACCATGTTCTACCAGGAAAGGCATGCTTTGGAAAGACATCATCTAAAGCTTCTGCATTTATATTTTATCTTGTACTGCTGTTCAGGGTTACTTTGGAGGTTCACTACAGGCTGGCTCAGGATCCCCCCCCCCAATAACAGTGGAAAAAGACTGCAGCTACAACCACAATGAAATGCTGTATTAGCACACGGCATACAAGAGGCATAAACCCTGCTTAGGGAGCAAGTAACCTCTATTCAAACTAGTCTATGGGTGACTTAAAAATCAGATGGTTTCTTATATAAACTTAGTAGTTCAGGATTGGATACCAACTAGTCCATCTTGTATAGAATGGTACAGCATGGTACTTCTGTCATCTCCAGATTATTATTATAGCAATAATATGTACAAAATAAAGACTAAGATATCTGTAAATTTATGATGAGCACTTTCCTTTTTGGTTTCTTGAGACATGGTTTCTCTGTGTAGCCCTGGCTGTCCTGGAACTGGCGTGCACCACCTCCACCCTGCAAACACTTTCTTTCCCCTAAATATTTCATCTGACTGGTTGAATCTTGGACTTGAAATCCACAGATAAGCAGAGGTAGGCAGATCTCTCTGTGTTCAAGGCCAACCTGGTCTAGGGACTTCCAGGACAGCAAGGGCTACATGTTATGTAAAAAGATTCCATCTCAAAAAAAGCAAACCAAAGCAAAACAAAACAAATTTAAAAGACCAACTGTATTATAGGCTTTTAAAGCTATATACATGGGCTTTCTTACAAGCCTAGAATATTCTAACTCTAAGCTATATGAAAAGCACAAGTGATTAATCTGGCTAACAGGCAAACAATAACCTTAAAGCCTAGTTATTATTTCAGGCCAGATATATTTGATGGACAACTCTGTTGGTCACACTTGCAGGGACCAGATAGGCAACCTACCTACTGGAGGTTACAACTGACAATTCCAAAGCTGAAGTGTGAAGACACTTGTTCAATCAGAGTCTAGCAGTGGTGGAAAACCAAGCAAGGACAAAGCGAATACCCCAGCACCCTCTTAAGACTTCATAATTCTCAGTGTTTGTGGGATACTCCAGATTAGGGAACTTCACAGGGCTGCCTAGCACTCAGGCTCCTGAGACAACAGTAAATCAAGCCTACAGCAAGCTATTAGCATGATTTTAATAGAACCCTTGATGGCTAGCTTGATAACGCAGCTTTCCTACAGCACAAATTGCAAGCTGTTTGTAGAGAAGGTTGTTTAGCACACTTATTAGTCATTAGTAAAAAACAAACTCAAGTCATTTTCTTATAAGAACTTATTGGGCTTTTTTTCACAGATACCTAAAGACTGAGTCACTATTGGCTGAGGTACTAAAGAATAATAAAAAGTAATAGTTTTGCATATAGAATTTGATCTAAAACTCTTTAGAGTATAATCTATAATAATAATTACTTTCTGTGATATGGTGCTAAGTTTTCTTTCTTTTGGAATTTCTAAATATACACATGAATAGTGCACTGTTAAAGAGCGAGACTGGACTAGGTAACTATTACTATTGATACTACATTGTCTGGTTCACTTGTCTTGGGATTAAGGCAAAGAATCTGTTTTCACACTTGCTGCTAAATGGTGGGGATGAGGATAAATCAACCCTTCTTTCATGCTGCATTAGAGAATGTGCAAAGACAGAATTTTGTTAAATGTTATAAACTACCACGGAAAGAATTTCTAGGATTCAAATTGGATCTCTTTATTCTATTGTACATGAAATCGATTGTTTCCACCAAACATCTACTAAAAGTGGGGCTGGAGAGATGGCTCAGTGGTTAAAAGCACTGACTGCTCTTCCAGAGGTCCCAGGTTCAATTCCAGCAACCACATGGTGGTTCAATGTTCATACCTCATGCTTATGGCACAGAGACAGACACAGCCTAACAGCCCTACACGTAAAATGTTATTTCTAAGTACCACACTTCCCTCCAGTGGGTCTTCATGACAAAACCACCTTCTGTGATAGGAATTGGACTTTGTTATGTTGGAGTAACTTACTTTTCTCATTAAAATTTCTTTATACTCATTTTACATACCAACCACAGTCCCCCCCCCACTCCCCATTCACTCCTCAGAAAGGGTAATGCCTCCCATGGCCGTCAAACCCTGGCACATTAAGTTGAGGCAGGACCGAGGCCCTCCCCACTGCATCAAGGCTGAGCAAGGCCACTCACCATAGGGAATGGGTCCCAAAAGTCAGCTAGTGCACCAGCGACAGATCCTGGTCCCACTACCGGGGACCCCTCAAACAGACCAAGCCATAACAACTGTCGTCCATATGCAAAGGGCCTAGTATAGTTCCACGCAGGCTCTCTAGCTATTGCTCTAGAGTCAGAGTCTCCACCACCTCAGATCAGCTGTCTCTGTAGAGAGTCTCCACCACCTCAGATCAGCTGTCTCTGTAGAGAGTCTCCACCACCTCAGATCAGCTGTCTCTGTAGAGAGTCTCCACCACCTCAGATCAGCTGTCTCTGTAGAGAGTCTCCACCACCTCAGATCAGCTGTCTCTGTAGAGAGTCTCCACCACCTCAGATCAGCTGTCTCTGTAGAGAGTCTCCACCACCTCAGATCAGCTGTCTCTGTAGAGAGTCTCCACCACCTCAGATCAGCTGTCTCTGTAGAGCGTCTCCACCACCTCAGATCAGCTGTCTCTGTAGAGAGTCTCCACCACCTCAGATCAGCTGTCTCTGTAGAGAGTCTCCACCACCTCAGATCAGCTGTCTCTGTAGAGAGTCTCCACCACCTCAGATCAGCTGTCTCTGTAGAGAGTTTCCACCACCTCAGATCAGCTGTCTCTGTAGAGAGTTTCCACTACTTCAGATCAGCTGTCTCTGTAGAGAGTTTCCACTACCTCAGATCAGCTGTCTCTGTAGATTTTGGGGTGGCTTTCTCAACACCATCATTAGTATACTCTTAAAGAAACTGGGTTAGGTAATCAGTATCACTGTTAAAATATACTTCCAAGGAGGAAAATACCACAGTGTATTTTTCTTTCCCAGTTGTCATTTTTTTTTGGTTTATTTTTTTAAGGTCAAGGAAATACATTCTAGAATTAAAAAAATGTTTCCTGTTATTATGGACCATAGCCCATCCCTACAATTTGTCAAAATAGATGAGGGCTAAGATTAAAGGGCTTAAACTACTATAAAATATGTGTTTTTTTTCACTAAGTCTTCCGTTACAAAAGTCTCTGCTGTGATAAAATATTAACAGTAAAAAAATCCGCCAGTTAATTTTTATTAAATTCAAAGCGCCAATCCCTGAAGAAACAAAACCAAAATCTAAAATGACTGTTGCCTCAGATGTCCTTTGCAACTTTCAAAACCCCCATGGAGGAGCCTGTGACCTGACTGCCGCAGGGGCACAGGACATCTGCATGTGAGTTATGACAGAACTCCTACCCGAGACAAAAGAAATGTCAAATTATCAATTATTTGTTTACACAGGACTACAAAATGCTTACAAAATATGGTTATTTTATAAATGCATTCAGGGTCACGTCCACAATTTTAATGACCAACCAGATCACTCTGTTTCCCTCATTCATATGGACTTTAGATAAACAGAAAATAAACACAATTTTCTTTTACAACACTTGGAATTGAAACTCAATCTTTTGGTTCTCAGGAAGCAACTCACATTAGTTTGGATCAGGCCTGGGCAAAAAGATAGACTCGTTTACATGTTAAGCAATATAAATGTATACACTGGTAACAGCATCCAGCTGCAAACACCTTTTAAATGAGAGACTGGCAGGTACTCACCATTCTGACTCGGATGCCCTTTCTGAAGTGTTCTTAAGTCATACTTCCATACCTACACACTTGTGTGGTAGCAAAGCACAAAGCCCATTCTTTAGCTTGGAGAAACAAAGCTATTGTGGTGGAAGCCATTTCGTTTTATCCTTCCCTCCCTCTATCCAGAAAAGCAGCAGGCCTGTGAATTCAAAGCACAAAGGGGACCGCACTGCCAGCCGCTGATGTAAAGGTGCCATTTGACTTTACCACTGCTCAGTTCATTTATGCTTCTGTCTTAACCGTGTGAGTTGCTGTGTGGGTTCCCTGCCGCCAGAGGGAGCAGGTGCTTCTGGGCACGTGGAGTCTGCACAGAAGGTAATGGTCACATTCAGCAAGAGCAGCGCCTATGTGGCAGGGGAGTAACATGACACCACGCACTGGAACTGTGACCCAGGGCTCTCAGAGGTAAATGCGGGAATAAGTTTAGATCAAGACTGCTGGATCATAATGAACATTTTATTCTCTTTTTTGGGGGGGGCAGGGTGCTCTCAAAAAAAATCAATGTTAGGTAGAGTTTGACTTTCTTTAAGCTTCTATTAGAGTTCATGACCACTTAGCTTATATTCACCTGAATACATTGTCACTTGTTAATGATTGTGTCATGAGACTTAGAGATCATGACAGCAGTGTTACTTGTAGAAAAAACTCAAGACAATATTTTTTAATAATATATTATGTATCATTACATGAAACATGGTTCTCAGCTGTCTTTGATTCAGCAAAAACTGGTAATGGTGAAATGTAACATTATTTTGAAAGGTTACTATGGCATAGAATATAATAGTGATTGTTTGGAGTATATTAGTAGACATTCTGGCTGAAGTACATAAAAATTATGTTTACCTTAATGAAGCCCTGCCTCCCCCTTATAATTCTCAAAATAATTTACATAAGTACTGCTTTAACTCAGGTGACAAGTATGGAAGACAATCTATCAGAGAATGGTATTCTAAGATAGCAAAAAGAAAATTATTGCCCAAAGTTCCACAGCTGGGGCTGGAGAGATGGCTCAGTGGTTAAGAGAATTTTTATCACTCTTGCAGAGAGGACCCAGGTTTTGTTCCCAGCACCCACATGGTGGCTGACAATCCTCTGTAACTCCAGTTCCAGCGTATACCCTCTTCTAGCCCATGTGGATGGGCACCAGACACATACATGGTGCACATACATATGTGGAGGCAAACGTGCATACATGTGAAATAAAAATAAATAAATCATTAAGAGATTACCAACAATAAAAAAGCTTCCACAGCTGCTATACTCAAAATGATGGACTCAACTGCACAAGTTTAAGGTATGCTTATTACCCACTTCCCCAAAGTAACAAAACAAAACACCCCAAAGCTGAGGGCGTGGTGGCACACTACTTTAATCCCTGCACCAGGGAGGTAGAGGTAGAAGGACCAGAGTTCAAGGCCAGACTGAACTGAACCCCTTTTTCCCAGGGTTTATATATTGTCAAAGTTTGATCAGACTGTGTTTGCAGAACAAATGTCAGCTGTACAATCAAATCAACACAACACACATCACAATATAACACGTCCTTAGAAAACTGATGAAGACTTACATACATAACTGGGTTACAGACTGTTTACTTAGAGAATGGGAAACTATTGCCATCAATCTCACTAAGTGACACGATGTGGACAGAACTCCTCGTCTTCCCCCCACCCACTCATGGTCTCCTACAGCACAGGCTGGCCTCACCCGGCACTGCAGGGTGACTCGGAACTTTTGATTCTCCTGCCGCCACCTTCCAAGTGCTGGCACTAAGTGTGTGCTACTACATCTACCGTATCCAGCTACATTTCAGGTCACAGGAGGCAACGTGACCAAATAAAGTCTCATGTCAGCTGTGTTTTAGTCTGTCAATCTACAGAAAAAAATCTTCTCTAGTCAAACATCTAAAATGCTTTAATACTAAGTTTACAATGACAAACTAAAATGTTCTTGCATTTTGTCAAATATTGGGCTACTAAAATGGCAGAATGATTTTATCCTATCTTAATCTCACTTAGTGCTTTGTTCATCTGAGCCACCCCCCAACAAGCAAAACGAATACATATTTTTTCTCTCCCAGAAAGAAAATTAAATTCTAAATTAAGGCAGATCAATGATAAAATATGAAGTCTGTTAAAAATAAAAACAAGTGAGCAGAAAGCCAGCAAAAAGATGCTTCAGAAAAAATAATTTTTTTCCCACTTATACCACCCCCACGATTGATCTCTTCCAAACCCTGCAACACACTTTCCACTTGAACTGATAAAGACAGGGAACTTAAACTGGGCGGCCACCAGGACAAGCTGAAATCTTCTAGCAAATACTGGTGTAACCTACTGTATTTTATATTTGACGATACTACGAGCAGGGCATAGTGGCACACACCTTTAATTCCAGCACTCAGGAGGTAGAGGCAGGTGGATCTCTCATTTCAAGGCTTGTGTGGTTGACACAGTGAGTTCCAGGACAGATAGGGCTACAGAGTGAGACCCTCTTTTGATAAAACAAACAAACAAACGAACAACAAATAAGGGAAAAGCCACACTGAAAACAATGAGGCTTTACAAGCACCGCCTGCACAGTAGGGGAAACAAAACCCAAAAACTACCTAACATGCACACTTACTTCCTTAAAGGAAGCTGAAGAAAAGTAGATCTAGAAATACATGAAAAACGGCCTTTAAGACCTGCAATGCCCAACATCTCTGACAAGATAAAAACAAAACCAATAGGAAACGTTTATTTTTCCTGATTTTCTTTACTGCATTTTCCATCTTAATTGGTGTCTTCATAGCATCTGTCTACACCTTCCTAGCAGGTTCCCAGGAGAGGACTCTTCTCCCCACTTGTGTTTGGGGAGGAGTGCTTTTAAGCACAGTAACCCTGACTCTTATAGTTGGCCATAATTAATGGGTAGTGACATTTCAATTCTAAAAATGGATTATCACACACACTCAAATCACACTAAAATCTCAACTTACTTCAAAATCTATTTTCTTTCTATTGTAGCTTTTATTCCCAATTGTTGTATGAAATCCAAGAAGTGGGAAGAATGTCTTTTCTTTTTTGTTTCTTCTTTTCCTATTTCTTCATCCTCCTTTTATTCTTCTACACATTTTCTTCCTTCCTCTTTTTTAAATTATCAATGATAAGAGGTTAAAGAAATGGGTTATTAAAGAAACCAAAGTCTAGTAAACAGCAAAAACAGATCGGAGAGCTCACAAACCCTTCTGTGTCATGACGTTAAATCACTGACAAGGTTTTGTCTTTATTTTTGTAAAGGACATTTTCTTAGACAGTGATGGCCCTGGAGCTGCTTACTTCAGCAGCTGGCGGTCCTCCATGCTCTTAAGACGCTTCTTCCGGGGCTGCACAAAGTCATCATCTGAGTCATCACTGAACTTACTATCTTCTGGTTCATTCCTGAATTCTAGTTTCGGGAACCTTTTTTCTGGGTAAAGATTCTTTAAAAGTTCTTCAAAATAGCTTTCAAGTTTTATACCAGCATTGGCTACTTCTGAATCAGGCTGTGGGATAAAATAAAGATAGGAATTAAAAACTAAAAGACCAACAATTTAGTCAATAAAAATAACCTCTCATAATTCTGTCCCTTTTTGTCACACAACTATGAAACAATGGACTGTGAGAAAAGTATTTAGACATGTCACTAATATAAGCAAGTAAAAGTTTGGGGCTACATGAAGTCTAGAGAGGGCCAGCTAATAAGCAAGGCTTGTTTATCGAATCGTTCAAAAGGAAGTGGTAATGACAGGGACAGATCACATCAGCAAGGTGACAAGATCATCATGCATGGGGATCTCAAGAATCAATGGCGTACAAAGGAAGAACAGAGAAACCACGAGAAGGACAGTGCAGACAGAGTGACAGAAGATTGCTAAATGAGTACTTTTTGGTACATTCTTACTATTTCAAGGTAAACACAGAAATCAAAGTCTAAAAGAACCAGAGTTTGCAGAATAAAAGGGCGGATGGTAACTACTCATATTTTTAGCCTGTCTCGGTGCCTGGTGTCTTGCATTTGCATTTACTACAGATAAAACTGCAGATCACATGTGGGCGAGTCTCCCTAGTTCTCTTCCACACCCGGGCAGCCCTGAAACACCGACACAGTAGCACCTCACTGCTGTCGCCTCTCCCCATCTCACCTCATTGAATTCAGCACAGTTTTGAAAGATCAATCTAAAATCAGCCACAAAATCTTCAGGTTTTATGTACATGCAATAATCCTCCTGAAGTCTTTTCTTGATGGTTGATAAGTCCATTGGATTTTTAATTATTTTATAATAATCAGGCACCTTACAAAACAAATGAATTGTTACAAATAGGTAAACTGTACCTGGTCCTAGAATACATGCTATTTCTCTTCACATTATTTTGTCACCGGTGAAAAACAAAATCAAGAAACAAACCTATTCATCAACGTTTACAAGTGCCTACTGTGTTTCACGCACAGGTTTTGTGGCACTTTCTCTAAAACCTTAACACTTTATGTGTTAACGTTCATTGTGTATAGTGTGGGGTATCATACAAGTAATTTAAGTGTATCATGTAGGTATATAATGTATCACGAACATATCCCCCCTTGCTTCTCATTAAACCATACTCCCCTTTTCCCATCCCAAAAGTCTCCCCTCCGAAACTCAGCTTTTATGTCATATATGTATACAGAATACCAGGAGACCCATAACAGAGAAAATATGCAACATCTTTCTGCATGCCATCTAATAGAATTATCTCTATTTGTATCTATTTCCTAGAAAATGGCATTCTTTATGGATGACTAAAAATCCATTATGCATACACACACCATTTTTTAAATCCATTCACCTGCAGAAGATGAACAGCTAGGCTTATTCTATCAGCTATTGTGAACAGAGCTATAATAAATGTGAATGTGCAACATCTCTGCTGTACAGTGTCCTCTGAACATACAAAGCAGAAGAGATGAAGTATAAATGGTTTAACAACCTTATCTGGAAAGTCAAAACTGAAATTACACTGAGATTCTACCTCCCCCCCCAGTCACAATGACTACCATTAAAGAACGAACACACACACACACACACACACACAGAGGAGGATATAAGAAAAGGCAAACCCTTCTACACTACTGGTGGGAATATAAATCAACTCATTATGGAAATCAGTATGGAGGTTGCTCAGTACCATATGATCTAGTTAACAATGACAGTGAGACCCAGTCTCCTTACAACAACAACAAAAAAAAATGAGTAATTGTAAACCATGGTCGCTATATCCAGCAAAGCTATCTGGTAAATCTGATGATGGAGAAGCCTGGTTGGTGCATGTCTTGAATGCCAGCACTGAGGAGTCAGATTCAGGAGACTCTCTATGAGGTCCAGACCAGCCTGGTCTAGGTAGTGAGTTCCAGGCCAGCAGAAGTTACATAGTGAGATCCTGTTTCTAAACAAGCAAACAAATACCCATTTAAAACGGATGGGTCAGAGTGATTTTGTTTTGTACTATACCAAGTAGTGCAGGACCCAACCCTCATATCTGATACTTAATACCATGACCCCCAAAACACTAATCATGTTGCAAATCAGCTTATATTCCAAATGAATAATCCTGGCAATTTCAGGGTAATTTTTATGGAATGATTTATTATATCAAGAAAAAGGGGTTAACTTGTGCCTGCTGCTATTCTGACTAAAAACGCAAGCCAGAATCACGGAAAGTAACAATTTTGGGTTCTATTTTTCAGTATGTACTGGCAACAAAAGCTTCCATTTCTTTTGGGTATGAAAGATCCTTTTTCCCGAAGTACTTATTTCTTTTTGGGCTGGGGGTGTGGTTTAGTGTTTGCATATATAAGCCCTGGGTTCATTCATCCCATAGTACCCTAAAAGTCTTACTTCCAAAAACTTAAATATTAGAAATAGACATGGTGATGCAGGAGGAACCCTTCAAAGTCCACAGCCAGCATGGCCTACATAGGCACCCAGGCCAGACAGAGGTACACAGAGTACGAAAGAATAGGTTTAACTGCAATATTTTCTAACATGAAACTGACGGTTAAATTATTTATGCGTTTTCTTTTTTCTAGTTTGCATTGATTTTTAAAATCCAACAAATCACAAGTAGAAATGTAACTAGGAGGATCAGGGAGCTCTAGATGATTTCCCTCTATGCTCTGAGGCCAACTGAGATACATGAGATCCTGTCTTAGAAAACCCAACCACAATCACATTTATTCAGTTTCAAAAAGAGCTTAGATACCACAGAAGGACAACATATTGTATGTATGGGATTCTTTCTAATACTCTAAAGGTATCAAAGTCATTCTACACTTTCAATATAGATCTGTTTGAGACAAACATCCTCAGCGTTTTTCCATTATTAAATTCTACTTGCTATTGTAAGTCTAGATCTATCAAGAAAAGTATAGAGGTCTTAAAAAAACAGTGGCTATTTTCTCCAACTCATGCTATATAAGACTTCTGAGATAGACAACATAAAAATCACCACATCATGAAAGTAAGTTGGGTGGGAAGAGAAAGGGTATCCAAGAAACAAATAGAAAGTATCAGCCAATTGCCACTAACATATTTATCTGTCTAGTGAAATTACATCATTTGTCGGAAGATGAATGAAACTTGGTATCATGTCGTTAAGTGAACTAAACGCGAGAAAAAGAAATGCTATGTATGACACGCAAGTAAAGTGGAGCTCTGTGGTGGGAGGAGAGGACTCCAGGTGGTAGAGAGGAAACAGGGCAGCCCAGCGGGAAAACAGAATTAAGACTGAACACACACCCCCTGCCCACCCACCCACACATAAAAACACATACGCGCTACAAGAAAGCATGGCTTGGGGAGAGGAAGGGAATCAGCGGGACAGGAGGCTATAGGACACTGAGTGTGTGTGAAAGTGAGCAAACTAAATGATGTGGACGCTTGAAGACGTCAATGGAACCAAATATTTGATGTGCTAAAATTTAATTAAAAAATTACATGTGTTTAATATGAAAGCAGTGTGCGTGTGTTTAAGATCTGGATTAGGAGTCTGGGGAGATGGTTTAGTTGTCAAAGTGCTTGCTATGCAAGCATGAAGACATGTGTTTGATCACAAGCACCTATGTAAAACGCCAGGCATGACATTACACACTTACAAACCCGGCACTGAGGGGGCAGAGACAAGCAGATTCCTGCAGAGTCCTGAATCCCCTGGAGAGATCCCGTCTCACAAAACCACATTCAAGGTTGATCTCTGCCCCCTCACCCTAACACCTGTACTCCCCCACAGGACCACCCACAAAAAGACTTCAGTACAAGAAACTACTGAAATGACAAATTAGGTTCTCATAAGTCAAATTCTAAAGTTATTCTACCATGTGAACGTGTACAAATGACATTAATACTTACAGTTAGAGGAACAGGGTCTTGGAAAGCCAGGCTCATTTCATGGCAGTAAAGAAACAGAAGCAGACGCTCACATTTCTAATGAAAAATACAATAAAATAGTGAAGGCACAGTCTATTTTCTAAAAGAATTCACAGCCCTCAGAATAAAAATTGAAGCCCGAGGAATATAAAGGAAACACTGAATCTAACCAGGCAGTGGTGGCGCACACCTTTAATCCCAGCACTCGGGAGGCAGAGGCAGGCGGATCTCTGTGAGTTTGAGGCCAGCCTGGTCTACAGAGCGAGTTCCAGGACATCTAAGGCTATACAGAAAAACCCTGTTTAGAAAAACTAAAAATAAATAACCAACAACTTAGGGAATATGGATACAAGGGTCCCTGTATTTATGGAAATAAACCAATCTCATTAGAAAACACACTTTGAGTTCCTCCAGACGAACGCTCCCTAGCCCCCCTCAGCCCAGTCTGTGATGTGTGTGAAGAACAGGCATCACTGGAGGACGCCATGTGGTGGCAGAGCACGTTCCCCGTAAGCCCTGTCTTAAAGGCCCCTCTTGCAAACAGAGCCGTCCTGCTGTGAACTGTTACTTCTTCCTCTCAGGCCAGTGAATGGATCCCAGCGAACATCTGCAGTGTGTATACATCGAGTACAGGTTCTCCCTCTATTCATATGGCTTCTTTCTTTCCTCTTCTTGGTGCTGGGGGGCGGGGCGGAGACATGGTTTCTCTCTGTAGCCCTGGCTGTCCTGGAACTCACGGAGAGTCACCTACCTCTGTCTCCTGACTGCTGGGATCAAAGTTGTTAGCTACCACAGAATGGCTTATTCTTTTTTAAAATATATTTTGATAAATTCTTTAGTAATAAAAATTATAGTAAAATGCTAAATAAATTTTAATGTGGTCAAAGCATGGAATTATTTTGCAGGAACACTAAATGAAAAATTCAATCTCACTGCCAATTCTCAAAAATATTCTAAGAAAATCAATTAGTGAGAAAAGAATGAAACAAGGCAGAAATTAAAAAGGCAAATTTAAAAGTTTCAGACTAAAGCTAGTCACAGTGGCTCATTCCCATAAACCCAGGGATGGGAAGCTGAGGCAGGAGGATAGCCATCTGATGACAGACTGGACTAACAGTGGCACCCTGTCTTAAAAAAAAAAAAAATCAGAAACAAAGCTGGGCATGGTGAACCAATCAGATGTACTTGGAATGTTGTGAATTCAAGGTCAGCATATGCTATACAGAGAGTTCTAGGCTAGCCTGAGCTACAGAGTGAGTCCTTATGTCAAAGAAGGAAAAAAAAGAAAGCCAAAAGCCAAGCTTTGGGTGGACAGTCAGTAGAGAGGAGTGCCTGGATTGAGTTCCAAGATGGAAGGTAAGGAAGCTAGGTGTGCTGATGCATATAACTTTCAAATCCCAGGGCTCACTGCCCAGGCAGCCTACCCTAGTCCCCAAGTACCACAGCAATGAAAGATGATGTTGAAAAAATGAATTCACCTAAGGCTGTTTTCCAGCACCACCCTCCCCTCCCAAAGTCCAGCTCTACCTATAAAGAACATACAGTTCCCTCTGTTCAAGCATAGTGCTGAACTTCTACCTAATAACGTTCTCGTTTGTTTAATTAAGAAGTTATGGTTCTGGGTTAAGTACGTTTCTTCGTAAGCACAAGGACCTGGATTTGGATCCACAGCACAGTAAAAAAGTCCGGCATGGTGGCACCCGCTCTAGCTCCAGTGTGAGGGGACAAGTGAGGCTCAGGCGCCTGCGGGCCAGCCAGTCTAGCCCTGCGAGCTTCCGCGTCAGCAGCAGGCCTTGTCTCAAGATAAGGCAGACAGCAAAACAGGACAGCACATTAGGTCAACCTCTGCCTCCATGTGAGGAGGCATGGGTTCGAGCCCACACCCACACCCACGCCCACACGGTATATATACCTTGCTACTGACTATTTAATATTCCTATTCTTCTGTGTGTAGAAAGAAAGAGGGAAAAGGGAAAGAGGCTAAAAAAACAAAACAAAACAGAATTCAGTATAAAAACAAAGCACGCAATCATAGCCATCCTAATACTTTAGTGTAGAAATGCTCAAACAACAAAACAAACCAAACCCGAAACACTTACCCTTTTATCTATTGGCGTTAATTTAGTAAGGCCTTCGGTTTTTCTTTTATCTGAGTTGTGACTGGGAGTATCACAATCATATTCAACTTCTGGCTTAGATAAGTCTCGGCAGAAAGTACAAATCCATTCTCCACTGTTGGGATAACGTGTCTTTCAGTTGAGTATATCAGGCCTCTCTCCATCACCCTTCCCACCACCTGCCGGCCATCCACGACACGTTTCTTTGGCATGGGTTTATTCTCTGCTTATTTATCACTTACTACTAGATACAAAGCAGTACGGAGAAGAAATAGCAGAAATTTGATGCAAAGGTCTAAGAAGTTAGTAGTACTAAATTCTGACTAAACATCACACTTGATCCTCCCTCTTGTCCTCTCCATGCTTGGCTACAGGTGTGTGCCACTAAGGCCAGCTAGGGCCTGTTATTATTTATCTCAACAGATAAGCTTTCTGAGAAGCACAAAGACTAAGAGAGCAGGGAACAGAAAACTGTAGATCAGTGTTAGGGACTAGGAAGTATGCATTTGTGCCAAATGGAATTTAATCTTTGTAAGTTTGTTATTAACAACTGTCAAAAATGTTACAATTGTTAATTAATTAATTAATTAGTTTGTTTTTTCGAGACAGGGTTTCTCTGTATTGTTTTGGAGGCTGTCCTGGAACTCTGTAGACCAGGCTGGCCTTGAACTCACAGAGATCTGCCTGCCTCTGCCTCCTGAGTGCTAGATTGAAGGCGTGCACCACCACTGTCGGCTTAACTGTTAATTTACAAAGCCCTCCCTTCCACCTTACCCCCCCACCTCCACTTTCCTGTTCCCACCCATTTCCCTGTGAAATGCGGTTCCTTTTTATTTCCTCGCAGCAGTGGGAGAGCACCCTGGCCATGTGTATGCTAGCCAAGACGCTCTAGCACGCCACACTCCTAACCCCCCTCCCACCCCCCCCACACTTTAGAGAGAAGTACGTCTTACCTCGGGAAATGTGTCAATGTGGGCACGTGACAGGTAAGATGGAACACTTTAGGACACTTCTCACAGCAGAGCAGCTCCCCTCCATTCTGACAAACTGCACACCAGTCTTCATTGGGATCCTCCTCCTTCCTTGCCTCTCCAACATGCACTGGGGACTTCTGAGAGGCATCCAGCCACTCAGGCTTCCCATTTGAGGGACTTTCCTGATGAAGTCCGGGCTGATCTCCTGTGCTATCAGGAGCATCAGATCTTAACGCAGCTTCCTCAGAAGAAGAACTCTGATTAGTGTTTAAGAGGAGGGAAGTAAGTATGCTTCTTGGATAGTTAGTCTGCAACCAAAAAGAGAACATTATGTATGTATGTATGTATGTATGTATGTATGTATGTATGTATGTATGCATGCATGCATGTTTTCAAAGTGAATGTTTAATCTCCCAATGGCTACAATCATTAAAGACTAAGTGGGCAGTGTGGAAGTCAGTCACATGAACTGTAAAGATGGTTTACTGTAGCCACTAATCCAAATTACACTTCAGACACCGTGCTGGCTAGTTTTATGTCAATTTGGTACAAGCTGCAGTCATCTGAGTGGAGGGTGCCTCAACTCAGAAAACGACTACGTAAGACTGAGCTGTAGGCAAGCCTGTGCTGCACTTTCTTAATTAGTAATTAGCGGGGCAATGCCAGCCCTGGGTTGGGCTCCATTAGAAAGCAGGCTCAACAAGGCAGGAAACAGCACCCTCCGAGGCCTCTGCACCAGCTCCGGCGCCAGCTCCTGACCCACTTTGAACTCCTGTCTTGAGGTCCTTTGATGAGAAGTGGAAGGGTCAACTAAATAACCCTTTCCTCCCCAAGGTGCTTTGGTCACGGTGTCTCATCACAGCAATAGAAACCCTAACAAGGACAAAGATTGTATCTAAATTTTGTGTTTGACCCTGCGATGGTGAAAATTCCCAATTAAACAGAAGGTTTTATCTCCTTCAAATTTTGTTTCTGAAATTTGAAAGTAACAAATATGGATATAATTAAGAATAGACATTCTTTGGAGGTTAATTATTTCCAAGTTTAATCTGTTCCAGAACAGCAAGTTGGCTTAATGTTATGAGACAACCTATCACAGTAGGAGAGAATTTATTCCAGCAAGTTGTTCTGACTTTCATATGCCCCCCTCACACACACACACAATAAAGATCAAGTTTTAGTTTAGTGTATGGAGAGTGCCTCAGTGGAGAACCCTCTTCAGTTCCCACTGTGCACATGGCGGCTCACAATCATCTGTAACCCAGCTCCACATCCTGAATGGACCCAAACAGACATCAGACACACATTTGGTAGACATACATGCAGGCAAGACATTCATACAAACAAATAAGTCTATTTAAAAAATTAGTGTGTTCTACTGTCTTCATCTTTCCTTTCTTCCTTCTTCCTCTTCTGTCTCTAAAGAAGGTTGAAACTCTGCCTCAGTCTTTGAGTGCTGGGATTGTAAGCTCACACAACTGGGCCCAGTTCATCTCCATTAGTACAGTAAGTTCCTCCCCATTTGCTTAGTTCTCTTGGTATCCACCACTCTGCCAGTCCCCGCGGGGCTGTAAGATGCCTCTGACCATGCATAAGTACTCTTCCCCCTCCACAATGGCCTGCGGGGCTTCTGCTCTCCCACTACAGTCTACTTTATGGGTGTTCCATCAGGACTACCCTTTCCTTGCCTCTTAAATGGGAACAGCACTACAAGCACTGATGTAATTACATTTTGAGCTCTAGAATCTTCATCTGATTCTTGTTTTACTATAACAACAGGAAACTCATAGTTTTCAGGTGGTCCACTGTTTTCTTGCTTTATTCGGATTGGCTCCAACATGACTACTGGGACTTTGTGTGTAGAATCAGCTCCTGCTGGTTTGCTGGAAGAGCCAGAGCTGTGAGAGAAAGGAGGAAAGGGACATAAAATTAAGACAACCTAAAAAATAGGAAATTGAAGAACATTCTGGAATAACTTAACTTCACAGTAATAACCATATTTTGTATCAGCAGTGAATGATGTTAAAATTGTGGGGTCGGCACAAATTTCCTTGATGACAGAAAGGCCCTACAGGTTAACCTTTCAAACAGATTTATCAAGTATCTGAAAAAAGTAAAACCTTACGAATATTCTAAGGTTCTGTAACTGCTTAACTAGATATGGGGTCTTAGAAGTAACATCTTTTTGGCCTTTCTCAGTTCCCTGTCTAGTCACACTCTAGGGACAACAACTCTAGGCTTTTCTGCAGTTTGTGTTAAGATACTAGGATAGCATTGGTTGGTGGTGGTTCCTTAAGGATAGTAGCTGGACAGAACTCTTGCACCATTAGCTGTTCTTTTTCTTTTTAATATTTATGAATTTACTTATTTGTCATATATACAGTGTTCTGTCTGGATGTATGCCTCAGGCCAGAAGAGAGCTCTAGATCTCATTACAGATGGTTGTGAGCCACCATGTGGTTGCTGGGAATTGAACTCACGACCTCTGGAAGAGCTGCTAGAGTTCTTAATCACTGAGTCATCTCTCCAGCCCAGTCACCTGTTCTTATGTAACTACAGGCAAACTTTCTCCTAGAGAATGCTATTTTCAAATGATAAACAAAAAATGGAGTTTATATCTAGAAGTAACTTTTAAACATAATGAGGGCGAACTAAATAACAAAGGAGCTTAACTGCCAAAAAATTCCTGACCATGTGATAGCCTGTCTGAAAACAAGACAACAGAACCTATAAGGAAAATAATGCTTGTTTTTTTCTAAATTTGCCTACAATTTACTATGTTATACACACTCTATTGTATTAACATATTAATTAAAAATTAACAGTAAAAAAGTTACACCAAGTGTCAAAACATTGACAACTCCAAGGAATTTATGCACAGTTGGCTCTTAATGTCCATGGCCTTCACATATATGGATGGAAAATACCTTGTGGGAGGGAATATACCTATAACTGAACGTGTACACACCATTTCTTTTCTTTTTTGGGGGTGTCATTATAATGCAATATAACAAGTTTTACAAAACAGTCACATTGTATTAGGCACCATCAGTAATCTAGAGATGATTTTAAGTACACACCAAAGTATGTGCAGGTTTCATATAAATACTGTACCACCTTATATAAAAGACCTGAGCATCTGCAGATTTTGGTATACTCAGATGGGTCCTGGAACCAATTCTCTGTGAATACTGAAGCAAGACCATGCTAGTAAATATGGTTAAAACAAATTACCTTCCTCGGCTCCCAACGCTGGAGGCACTAGGTGAACGTATCGGGGGATGGACACTAGTCATAGTAACGGGTCCTGAGGAGAAGAAATAGACATATATAGATGAATTAACAATTATGCATTCACGTTTTTTGAATGTGTCCACTTAAATTATAATACCGAAACCAACAACATCCGATAGAATTCTATGAAACAATAAGAGTATCTGTAGTGTTTTGCTATACCATGGTGCTATTGATTTTTGGGCAGTGAGAAGGTCTGTGCATCACTGGATATATCTCCATACTCCCAACCTTAAGTACTAGTACACAACATTTCCATCAAGTCTCTCTTGCAGTACAGTAGCTCGAGGGTTCCAGTGCCAGTGAGAACTACAGAAGAGAAAGGGGCTGATATATCCAGTGATGTATAAGGAATTCAAGGGACAGCAGGATAGCTTGGAGGGTTAGGGTACTTTTCAGCAAGCCTGACAACCCGAGCGCAATCCCTGGAACCAAATGAGAGCACTTAATTGGAAAAGTCAAACTTAGATTCAGATGTGAAGCAATAAAAAAAGAAAATACAGAGGTTCTGAAGTGCTGTAATAAAAGAAGAGTTTACGCTCAGGCTGCTGAGATGGTTCAAGAGGTAATATTGTTTGCTGCCAAGCCTGATGACCTAAGCTAGATCCCCAGGACCCACACACACATGGTGCAAGGAGAGGATGGATTCCCATAAGGAGTCTTCTGACCTCCATGTGCACGTTGTGTCACTTATACATACGTGTACACACACAGGTAAGTTAAATCCATACTCGGGAGTCAGTATAGACTGTATGGGAATCTGTCTAGTGTCTGGCAGTCTATAAATGATAATTAGTCTTAAGATTATTGTCATAATGCCTACAGAAATATTTTGCCAAGCTACACTATTATCAGTACACATGAAAGTACCTGATGACATTTTCATCAATGGAATTGTTACTATTCGAATCTTGACTAATTCAGCAGTAAGAAACCAAATCCTGTCTAGGTGGTTCTTATGGTGACTGGAGAGAGGAAACATTTTTGTTTAGTCTGTTTTGTTGGACATCATTACTGTGTAGGGATTACCTATTTATGTATCTTTTAGCAACACCAAGAATATTCTATAATTTGTTCATATGCACTTGCCCTTTATTTTATTGTAAATTCATGTTTAGAATAAAAATCTCCACTTAAATTTTGTAACCAGCATATTTTTTGTAACATTGTAGAAAAAATTAAGTTCACTCCTTCCATTATTCCATGTAGATGCTGTTGTATGGCTAACTTCCTCAGAACTGAAACAGACTCTCCTCCAGGGAAAAGGGAGGTTCCCAAGACTCAGGAAGATGAGGAAAAACATAAAGCTAATGAAACTTTTCGACAAGGAAGCTCAAGAAGCTAAGGTTCAGAGAGTCAGAACATTACATAGGCACGTGCTAGGACAGAGAAGACCCTTAGTAGGGGACTGCGAACTGCAGACGGCTCCTGGGACCCGGCTCTGCTGAGCTGTCCACCATGTCGGGCAGGATATAGCAAGCTCACTGGTTCGTCAGGCTAGATTTGAATGCAATTCTTTCCTTGGCTTATAACCAGCACATTATTTGGATGTATCTGTTCATGTCTCCTCTGGAAGTCACACGAGAGATGCCTGCTATATCAAGCTCCAGGAGTAACATCTGGAGTGTTTCTTAGAGGAAACAGGTTGTTGTTATTATTATTACTATTATTATTATTATTATTTTGAGACAGGGTTTGTTTGTATAGCCTTGGGTGTCCGGGAACTCGCTCTGGCCTTGAACTCAGAGATCCACCTGCTTCTGCCTCCCAAATACTGGCATTAAAGGTGTGCGCCATCAGTGCCAGCAGCGTCTGGCTTATAAGATATTATTTTTTTAAACACTTACTTTTATGTGAATCGAGTATTCTGTCCGCATGTACATTAGGGTAGCACATGCATGCAGTACTTGGGGAGGCCGGCACTGAAGCAATGCAACTGTGCGCCAACACGTGGGTGCCGGAACCCTGCTCTGCTGCAGGAGCAGGGGCGCTCTTCGCCACTGAGCCATTACTAAATACAACAAGTACAAAAGGCCACTCTCTTCTTTATTTTACTTAATAAAATTTGACTCTAGACAAATTACATTCTAGAAGAGACCACATCCCAGGCAACTAAATGAGGGTGTGCTAAAAATTTGCTCAGTGGTTGCTATAAAGCCAAAAACACTTGCTGCAATTGAAAAAAAAAACTGTAAAAGTTTAACTTTTGTTTCCTTCTTTGTGAGGAGTAGTAGCTTTTTTTTTTAAAAAGATTTTATTTATTTATTATGAATACAACATCCTGCCTCCATGTATGTCTGCACGCCAGGAGAGGCCACCAGATCTCATTACGGATGGTTGTGAGCCACCATGTGGTTGCTGGGAATTGAACTCAAGTCCTCTGGAAGAGCAGTCAGTGCTCTTAACCTCCGAGCCATCTCTCCAGCCCCGGAGTACTAGCTTTATGTGGTATAAAAACTCAGGATGGTGATATGGGCTCCGTGGGTTAAAGCTCTAGTTACCAAGCCTGATAGTCTGGGCTTGAAGCCCCACCTGGTGGAAGGAGAAAATCTATTCCAGGTTGTTCTCTGACTTCCACAGGTGCACTAAGGCATACAGGTAGAAGTATGCACACAAATATAATAAATACATAAAGAAAACCTCAATATATAGTTGCCAAAAGGCGGCTTTACCTGCAAGGCCAGGAGATGGCACTGATGAATTTGGTGACTGTACTGTTCTGTTTGACGGAGGTCTTGGCTGGCCATGATCTACACTTGTATCTTTCCTTGCAATATTGTCCAACATAATAGTACTCGAACAATCAATCTTCCAAGAGAATAAATTATTTTAGAACAAATTAAGTTTGCAAACTAAAAAAAAAAACACTTTAAATTTACAAGAAATCTTCAATCCTAAATTCTATCTTTGTTTGAGACAGGGTTTCTCTGTGTAGCACTGGCTGTCCTGTAGACCAGGCTGGCCTTGAACTCACATAACCCCTGCTCCCCGAATACTGGAACAAAGGCGTGTACCACCATCCCTGGCCTTTTCTTTTTTCCATTTGGTTCTAAATACTATCAAGCAAGGCACAAACTGTGAAGTTCTGTCAGATGATTCCCTCATCAACAAATTAAAATAAAAGTTTATTCTTTATTATATTCTACCCATAGCAGATATACTGAGGACACATGCATTACATCATGCACTTGTACACGTACAAAAGCACAGAAGCATGCACACACACACACACACACACACACATGCACGCACGCACGCATATACTGATTTAGTTTCATGTTTCAAACGTACATACTTTGTCAGGCCTAAATATACCAAGTTTCCTAAGAACATATACAATTCCCTCATGCATTTCTACCCTTTCTCAATTTGGGATTCTACAAGAGACCTGTGAGTGTCCTATGGCCAGGGTACAGACTGTATATAATGAAATACCACAGAAGAAAAGGAAGGAAGAAAGTTTTCATTTTCATTCTCTTTTATGGTTGTAAGGGTTGGGAGACAGGATGCACACAAGGCCATCTGTATCTTAATATTCTTAGGTACTACTTTAGTAACTAATTTTCAGATGGTGCATAAAGGAGTGGATTTCTTAATGTTGAAATAATTTATATTGTGGAATAATCCTAAAAGCAAGATAAAACTTAAAATTTAGGCTAAGGTTTCCAAGGTCTGATGTATGCATGAAAAAGTACACTCTACTCATTTAGAATATGTGCATTATAAACACTGACTCTTGTGAGATTAATAATGCAATTATTAGGAAATAATAATTGATCTCAACTTGGATTAAAAAAACAAAGAAAATTTAAAAGTTTTCATAATATAGATAATTCCTCCCAACTAAAGAGTGCAAAATATTTCACAAGTGGAAACATTTCATGTTTTGTAGATACATTATGACACTGAGATTACCTAAGCTTGCAGGGTTAAAAAAAAAAAAAAAAAAGGAAAACGAGGCTGAAGAGATAGCTCAGCAGTTAAAAGCATTGGGTACTTTTCCAGAGGACTGAGGTTCTATATTCCCAGCACCTGCAAGGCAGCTCACAACTGTCTGTAACTCTGTTCCAAGGGATCTGACATCCTTTTTTGGCTTCCAAAGGCATCAAGCACTCATGGTGCAGACATAGATGTAAGCAAAATACCCGTTTTTTCACTCTGCTCTTGTTCTCCACACTCTGGCTGGAAACATTCCAGTCTAGTCTTTCATCTCACTTCCCTCCTTTCCCAGCCCTGAATCGACGATGCATCATCTACAAACATCTGAACATCAGAGTCCAGAAAAACATTCTTTTATATGTCTAAGTGCTCATAATTTGCAATTTTACTCACATTTCATTTCTAAAGAATAAAAACTAAGCTTTCAGAAAGAGCTGGCAAGCCAATAATCCCACACCTTAAACTAAATCCAGATGACTGGTAATCTTGAGATGAAGTTATTAGAGCAGATTTTACATGAGCTTACATCTGGAAGAGACGGAAGATTGTAAGGCCCTCCCACTGGTGCGCTCAGATCGATCATGGGTGAACTGTAAGCCTTTCCATCGTACCCAGCTGCGCTTGTGATCGTGGGACTGGACGGGGTGGAGGACGAGCTGCTGGCAGCTGTGTGCGGAGCCTGCCCACTGCTGATCTGCCACTGGAGTGAGATGAGAAAAAGAAACAATCAAACAATCAATGTATCTGGTCACTCAGGTGTCTAAGATGGAAGGCACAGTCTGCTACTTCAGCTCAAATGTTATTTCAACGCAAACAAGGGAGAGAAGATGCATATTATGTGTGCACACACACGTGTCAATCAGCTCAAAAAATAAATAAGCTTTTTTTTCTGGTAAAGAATAGTAAGCATATACCAGAAAACTACCCTACCTCCTTGTAAAATATATATACACATATACATGAAATGGACAAGAGATATACGCAAACAAATCAACTTCAGAGTAAAACGCTGGAGAATTAGAAACATATATTTTCTTTTGTCTCTACATAAAATGCCTAAAAATAATCAGTCACAAATTAGAGCCGTCAGGTTTTTATAGTCCTCTTTCTTATTTCTCACATATGAATGGGTAACTAAACCTTACTGAGGAAAACCTTCTCATTCAAATTGAAAGCTATGACAAACACAAAGATAACATTAGGTGTGCTGTGAATGATACAAAATTGAATCATACTCTTTGGTTGCTTCAAAATCAACACAAAATATGGTACAGATGATGGTTAGATAAAACGAATAATGCCAGTATATACTAAGGCAAGGGGACAAAATGTTCCTCATAAAATTATTTCAATTATTTAGTGTATTTGAAAAACAACATGAAAAACATCAGAATAGGCAGGCTGAATGGTATCCCAAGGTTATTCAGCAGAAAAACTACCCAAACACATTATCACTTATATATGGATAGCATTGTAGAGTGATGTCCTGAAACATGTCTTGAAAAATCTTATACACGACTATAAAAAACTATGAACAGAAATATATGAAGTTGGGTGTAAGTGTCATCAGCATCTATATACTCAGTAATTTTATCTCATCCCTATATACCTTTTCTTCCTCCCCTTAAAGAATGAACCACAGTTGGTGAGTGCCTTCCTACAGTTTTTCCCTATGCACAAGATAAAACACATACAGAAAGAGATAGTATCTTACAAAAATTCATGATAGCTTCTTACTAGCAAAAAATGTATCATTACATGAGCATGTTATAATTTGGTAAATTAATTTCTGCGGCCATTGGTTCAGTATATAAAAGTGCTTGCTCCCGAGCCTGAAAACCTGACCCCTGGAATCTACATGGTGGAAGGACAGAACAGACTCCTAGTCTACCTCTGACTGCCCTGCCCTACATCTCTGACAGTCATACAAAAAATAAACATTTTTAAAGTACATACCATTTGTAAATCGGATTCTACAAAGTTTAAGAAAATATAATCATATTTCTCACAATATTTCTCCTGGTTTATTTGCTCATTTATTCATTTATGCTTAGATTTTTATCCAGACAACATTCAAGAAAAAAATTAAAGAGTATCTGCTGCAGCATGAATACAATAGCATTCCCAACACTATCCTGCTATGTGAACCCTGTTCCCATAGAACTCCGTTTATCACCCCTGGTAGAAATGCATCCACCTGCTCAAGAAATGCCAAGGACAAGGTGTTTCCTATGCCCTTACAGATGCAGTGTAGCAAACAGCCCCAATTTGGCCTTGAGGCTTTCTGTCTCATGAGCACAGCTGGCGATGGTGGTGAGAAATACCCCGTATGCGTCTCGGTCCCTGCTCTGAAGTCTGTGTGCTGAACCATTCACATAGAAGTCTCACAGAGTGCCAGCAGAGCCGCTCTTGTGCAGAGCAGCACATGAGTCCCTGGTTCTGTCACTCCTGAGTGCAACCTCAGGTCTGTGGTCCTTGGTCACTGGCAAGAGGCAATAGTCTACCCACTAAAATCTAATAAATGGGGAAGAAGAGAAGGTGAATGCTTGAAAAACGCTAGGTATTTTTTATATACTTTAGAACAACTGTCAGCATAACTCTGCAAGGAACTCCTATTTTTATAGCTGGAGTGATATCTGAAAATAATGAACGTGTCACGGTCATAAACCAGGAAAACAAGTAGAATCTGATGCCAAGCAACAACTTAAACCTTCACTTATAATGACAAAACACAACAGGTATGAAAATTTAAATATTAGTAAAAACTGGGGTGTTCCATCAGACCTTGATCACATAAACAAACAGGGAGTAGGCAAGGACTCCTTGATTATAAAGCACTGATAAGTGTTTTCATACTTCTGTCCCCACAGATCTGATTCTAAGTACGCTCTGTAATTTCTATTCATTTAAAAAGGCAAGCAAGCAACCTTCTTCACTTATTGTTCATTTGCAAGTAGTATGCTCTGAAGCACAGAATAACACTCCCCAGAAAGGTAATACACACCTGTTTTATGGCCTGTTGAGCCAAAAACGCCATCTGCAGGGGGTTGGGTTTTATCGTCTGTCGTGGTACATTCTGGTTTGGTGGGTATCGCAGCTGTTGAGGGTAAGGAGGAAGAACTGGTCCATTGGGTTTAGGGCTGTGATTCTGAAAGTTTATTAGACGTGGTGGTGGATGCTAGAAAAAAGAAATGAAAGCACTGCAGTAACAATACCTCCTAAAGAGGCCCAGATCCTTCCTGTATAAACTTCCACAGGACAGCAGCTCTGCCACAGAAGACTCACTAAGGCCCCACGAAGCAATGGGGAGGACGGCAGTCACCCACTCTTAAACGGGGGAGGGGCAAAGGGAAGGGAAGGAACTTTCCTGGTGTGTGTGTGTGTGTGTGTGTGTGTGTGTGTGTGTGTGTGTGTAAGCACACCTGCTTCGTCTCCTCTACCTACTGCTCAAGGCCAGCAGTCCTAGCAAACCGCAAGCTCTCATGCCAGCGTCTTTTTGAGCACAACTGTCTTTACAGTGGGGCACTTATTGTTTTGTTTAGATCCCTAAGTGTGTACGATCAGAGCTTCTCAGAGAAGGCAGACAGCAGACAGCTTACAGTGGAGCACTGCTCTCCCTCCCCCACTTTTTCCTACCTCGGCAATTTTTTCCCCCTTTCTCTCTCAGTTCAGAATATATTACAGAACCAGTGGAAAACAGACTTATGTACTGTCTCTAGACCGGCTGAAATTCCACAGGTGAAGAGCAAAATAGGATTAGTGGAAAACTGCATAGAGAACAAGTCAGAAGCAACGGTTTTTGATTTTCCTATGAAACTTATGACATGAGGGTTTTATTACTATGAAAAACCAAGCAGAAAATAGTGAGGACTTACAGTAGAGATTTTCTAAATTTTAAGGAAAAACACCCAAATGGTTTTGGTAACTGCTCAACATAATAATTCAACCAAAAAAAAAAAAAAGGCACTTGATGCCAGGGGACTGGGACTAAATGCTAATCCTGCTTATCATTAAGACCCTTATAGCCGGGCGGTGGTGGCGCATGCCTTTAATCCCAGCACTCGGGAGGCAGAGGCAGGCGGATCTCTGTGAGTTCGAGGCCGGGCTGGACCGACAGCCTCCAAAACAATACAGAGAAACCCTGTCTCGTAAAACGAAAAAAAAAAAAAAAAAAAAAAAGACCCTTATAGATGAGCAAGGCATAGGGTGGTATTCTACCCATTCCCGAACTGCTATAATTGGGTTAATTTATGAGAATATTTTAACAAATCCAAAAGACTATTAAAAATCAGGTATGATTTTTTTGGGGGGTGGGTGGGTTCAGAGACAGGGTTTCTCTGTGTATCTCTGGCTGTCTTGGAACTTCTTTTATAGACCAGGTTGACCTTGAACTCAACAGAGATCTGCCTGCCTCTGCCTCCCAAGTGCTGGAATTTAAGGTGTGTGCCACCAACTGGCTCAGATACGATCTTAAACAGCAAAAGTAGTATTTTGTTCAAATAATTCATTCAAGAATTACAAGATGAAAAGAAAACAGATGAGGAAAATAACTGAGCATGGTGAAATTGCAGGCATGGGCACAGTGAGAACAATGGCTATAAATCATGTATAGTGATAATATGTCAGTGCTCTCAAATGAACAGACATGTCCATAGGGTGTGACAGCATGGACTGTATAGCACTAAACCAACAGTCTATCAAGTCTGCTCTGCTTATTTTGCTATATAATGAGCTATTCTACATTTGCTGTCATCCAGAACTTTAAGAATGCAAGTGACATGGTTAATCTTTAGAAGAACTATCATGTGACTGACTTTTTATAAGCATAATGCTTTCAATCTACCTGTCCACATGGGCAAGTATAGAATATGATTTGCATACTCCACATAGAAGCATAAGGACCCACCACCTGTTTTAGACAGGCAGTGCAAAAAATTACATGTTCATGCAGTTACATGTACTTAAAAGCTGGTAGAAAATGAAGAAACTAAAAATATAGGAAGACAGTAAACTAAAAGTCAGGAAAAAGTTAGAAATGGGTATTTGGCAGAAAAGATTTAGGAGTTAAGAAAAATAATAGAAGACTAAAAATAATACATAAGGAAAGATGTAAGAAGTACTTCTACGCTAGAAAATTAAGTTGTATAGTAGAGACTTTTTATAAATTATACCACTAAATGCTACAGACTGAAAATCAAAAGCCAACTTGTGAGAAAAGTAGGCTGAAGGCTTGGATGCTATTTGCTTGTCATGGCTCATCTATAAAAGCAATTTCCTTTACATGGTTAGTGACTGCTTTGGTTACTTGTTAATAAAAAGGCAATTAAGATGACGGATTGGCTCCTTCCCAGGTTAGAGACGAGTGGCAGAACATGTGCTTCAGCATGTGCAGGGAGTGGCCTGGGTTCTGCCCCGCACCACATAAGCAAACAACGACAAAAGCACGTATGTCTGGGACTCTCAAGTCAGGGTAAGCATCTTTGAAAGCTATTTCAATGTTCTGCTATTCAAAAGGCTATGCCATTTGTATACCTTTTCCATAAAGAACCACTTTCTATATATTACTAGGAAAATAAAGTTTTCCCCCTAATTAGTTTCCTTTTTTATCAGTTATTCATATCTGTGTTATCCCCGTTTCCTTTGTGCTTCTGTTGCCAAGGCATTTTGAGCTATGCTTCCTTCTTAAGTGAAATGAGAATTCTTAGCATAGTTCTGTCCAGTGTGCTTGACTTTCATGAAGCTGCAGTTCATTTGCATCATTTACCAAAATCATTATAGACTCCCTGTACAAACAGAGAGAATATAAGATTAAATAAAAATTGTATATTCAATGAAAGATGGGTGAACTCTTCACCAGGCCTTTATTCATCCAGGTATGTCCATATCTAACCTAACAGGATTGGTTAAAGCATTTCATAAGAGTACACAGAACAGAAACCAGACTGGAGGGCTTGGAGAGGCGACTCTGAATTAGGCACTTGCTGAGCAAATGTGTGTGCGGTAGTTCAGATCATCAGAGCCCACAGAAAAAAAGCAGGGTGGGCATGATGCTGACCTGTAATCTCAGCACCCAGAAGGGAGAGACAGATGATCTCTATGGCAAGGCGGTTAGCTAGACAGCTAAATTAGTGAGTTCCCTGAGACCATGCCTCAGTAAGTGGTAAAACAATAAAGGAAGCTACTGATGTCAACCTCTGGAATCCACATATGACATGTGCATAGCTACCTGTATATGTGTGCATGAGGATGAGCACAGACATACTTGTTCATCATCCAATGCATACACATGCCAAAAAGAAAAGGACTGAAAAATGACAGAATATTATACATCGTGTAAGAATAGGAATAGTATATGGATTTGCTCAGGAAAATTTTAAAAGGCTGAAGATAGGATTCTAATGAGCTGCCTGACTTTCTCCATTGTATATTGCCCTAGTTTCTAAAACGAGTATGGGTTTCTAAATACTATTTCCAAAGATATTCATGCACCCATATAGGAATTAGAGGTACACAATTGTTTTTCATCCATCACACGCGTAAGTTATTTGGGAACACAACATCCCTTGTCAGAAATGGATGACAATGTGTGGAGATTGAAAATAGATATAGCAAGCAAATAAATCATTAAATCAGTTTGGGGCAGAGCTAAAAACTAGACGCTAGATCAAGGATCCTTTAATGCAGTCAATGTTTAATGTCTAAATGAAGACAGTGTATTGGGTGTTGGTTACTGTCGGGTGCTGAACACAGTTACACTACAGTCACTTAAGTTAGGACAGGCCTGCGTCCACATTTACCTGATGAGAGCTGGAAGGCTGCTGGGCGGGCCCTTGCATTCTAGGGTTTGGTAAACCCGCAGGTGCTGGCCTCCGCTGCACCTGTTGCCTCTGAGCCATTACCTGTTGCTGCATATGCTGGAGTCGTAACTGAGCTAGGCTGATCTGAGTTGGGAACTTGGATAACTGGTTGGAAGGTAAACCACCTGGTGGCTGTGAACTCTGTTCCACGACAGGATTCTGCTTAGGTATTTGTGGCTGGCTCTCTTTATCCTCGATTACTAAAGAACCTAATTAAAGAGAAAGAAAACAAGATAAAAATTTTTTGATAACTGATGAAATACCACACTTTATTTTATATGGCTACTGAGTTGGACTTCAACTGACAAACAATTTTGGACAAAGGACCCCTCTAAACTATTAAAAAGAGGATCCCAATGAGGTTTTATGTATATTCTATACCAACTGACCATGTAAAATTTTTTATGAAAAAATAATACTAATTCATTGAGAAATAAAGAACACCCATCTCCCTAGCCCACATCTTCTGTTTCTAAAGCTGTTTCTTTTGGTAAGGTCAATCAGATGTCTGAGTCCAGGTGCTGGATATATTCTGCTAAGCAAATGGCTAGGGTATATGTCTCAAACTGCCCTGCAGGGGTCTCTATCACCTAGGCTCTTAGGATTCTTTTTGTTTTTCCTTACGGATGACATTTGTCTAAGCCTGTTTCTACTCTTTCCATTGTGCAATGAGATGAACGTTCTATCTCCTTCACCAGCCGGGTTTTTTTTTTTCATTCTCACATATAATCTAGTCTTGGGGGTGAGAGAATAACTGTGTTGGATGATTCTAAAACAAATCCAGAACCCAAGTTGCCATCAAAGGAAATACTGGTTGTTAAAAAAAGTGACTGAGGAGCTTTGGAGCTTTTGTTCACTATCGTGTGCTTGTGATGAAACTCAAGAGCAAAAAGAACATTTATTCACAAGACAGCTCAGTGGTAACTTTTGACTGCACTGTTTGCAAAGATTACTTGCTTCCTAATGTTACCAAGATGCTATTTTCTGACGCAATGAGCTCAGTACTCAAAACTGAGTACTTCTCTGTATGTTACCATTAACTACTTACACACTCCCTCCATCCAGCCCCTTTCTGTGTATTCACAATTATAACCTGACCAGGCAAAGCTCTAAACCCCAAAACAAGGGAGGGTAAGGGAGGAAAAGAAAACTCCTCTGTAAACAACATAAAGCAATTGAGCCACCAGAGGCTTGGATAATGGTTTTAAACTTACACTGCTGTCCAACCTTCTGACATGGTGACACAGTGTTGTCACTTAAAAGCTTGGGTTTGCAAAGTCAGAAATGAATTACGGGAAAACAAGAGTGGGAGAAAAAAAATCTCATAATAACTCTGTGATTTCATGCTGGGTAGGCTGTGTGCCTATAATCCCAATACTTTGGAGGGGAAGACGGGAAGATCAGGGTTCTACAGTCATAGCCTGCTTAGGCTGGACTGAACTGCATGAGAACTGTGTTCTACCCCACCTCCACACCACTACCACCACAAAAAGGGTAACTTGGGGATAGAGAGGTGGCTGAGTGGTTAAAAGCTCTTGCTGCTCTTTCAAAAGACCTGATTTCAGCTTCCAGTGCCCAAATTAGGTAGGTCACAACCACCCCTGTAAGTCTAGCTCCAGGGATTAAATGCCCTCTTCTGGACTCCACAGACACCTACCTGTACAATGATACACATAATAAACCTAGGCACAAAGGCAGTTCAATAATAGAATGGGAAGTAGTATTTCTTTTGAAAACATTCTAACTACCAAAACCCAAACTGACATGGGTAATGTGGGTCTCAGCACCATACAGAAAACCCCCCACCCCAAACACCAAGTCTCCATATCATATACAGTCAAGAGGAAATACATTCTGATATAGACAGAGGCAACCAACAGACTACTGGGTCTGGAAAGATGGCTCAGTAGTTAAGAGCACCGACTGCTCTTCCATTCCCAGCACTCAAATGGCTGCTCATAACCCTCTGTAATTCTAATTCCAAGGGGATCAAGTGCCCTCTTTTGGTCTGTACGGGCACTGCACACATGGGCATAAACATACATGCAGGCGAAACTCCCATATACATAGAACAAAACACAAACTGGATTCTACAGGTGGAGGGGCACTCCTATACCTCTAACTTAGACACCCTATAAGCAATGTGTTTTCTCATCATCTCAAAACAAGTATGTATATATTCATGCATCTGTGTCACCATATGACATACTGGAAAAAAATGTGGCTATAAAACAAGATAATGGATGGGGATATTATATTCAGTAACATGTAATCACCAACTCAGAGTTTTACACCAAAATAGTTACACAGAGATAATGCACATAATGGCCTACCCAGGTTGATAATATTTTGGGCCCAGAAACTAGGATCACAGTGAAACTGGATGGTGTTGTTGGTCACAGGAGAAGCATCACACCTTGCACGAAGAAGATGCCGTAACCGATACGTAATCTAGAAGGAAGCAGAGAAAAAAATTAGTGTATTTTTCGGGCAAATAATGCACTACATATGCAGTTTCTGGTATGTGTGCAAACAACCACATGTGGGTTACAAAATGGTCATATAAACCAGGCATGGTGGTGCACGCCTTTAATCCCAACACTTCTGAGGCAGAGGCTGGAGATTTCTTGAGCTGAGGATAGCCTGGTCTATAGAATTCCAAGATAGTCTAGGCCAGATGTGGTTATGCATGTCTATGATCCTAGTAGCTCTGGAGCCCAAGACAAGAGAACCAACCATGATAGCAGTGGGTGGTGGTGTGTTCAGAGGAGAGAAAGGCTTGCTTTCTATGATAGAGCATCCTAAGAGCACCATGCTCTGAGTACTGAGGGTTAGGAGTAGGAGCTGGTCATAAGGATGGGAGAAGGGGGAAGGCGTGAGGTCCAATCTCCTCTGTCATACTTGCTCCTTCATATCTTCCTACCCACGGCAGTAAAGAAATACCCTGTCATTACGAATGACTGCCTTTTCTTAGTCTCTACTAACATAATTTTTCCTGCCTTCCTTCTAAATAACACACAGATTTAAAGTTTAACAGATGACAAGAGAAAGTCTAAGAAAGTAAATTCTAAGAAGTTTAAATATTTCAAAATATACTACTTTATGACTGGACTTTTGGATGTATGCTCTCACGTCATAGGGCTTAGCCAGTTTCTGTTTCTTCCTCCGATTATGAAAAAATGAACTAACTAAATTAGAAGACATAAGATAAACAAGTAAGGCTAAATCATACTAAAATAATTCTGCACAGTCAAAAATAATAAGCAAAAATGTTCCCTTGATTGGAAGGGAAAGTTAGCAAAACACACACGGCAAAAGAAGAGACAAAGATAAAATAAAATATCCAGCAGGGCTAGAGAGATGAGTCGACAGACAAGAACACTTGCTGTTCTTGCAGGAGACTGGTTAGTACCCATGTTGGGAGGCTCACGTGGCCTTTAACTCCAGCTCCAGGGGATCTGACGCCCCTGGCTTCCACAGCACCTGCATACATGTGCCTATTTCTACACACAAACACAATTATAAAAAAGTCTTTAAAAACTGTTCAATAGTCTATGAACAGCTGCTCAACCCCACAAACCAACAAGCTAAATGCAAATCAAAACCCCAAGGATTCACCACATCACACAACTACAGCTCTTAGTTAAACAATGGTCACAGTAAACGCAGGTGAGGGTTGGAGATTGGTGGGAATGTAAACTGGTATAGCCATTATGGAAACCAGAATGGAGGTTCTTCAAACAACTGAAACTAGTAGTACACGCCCTAGCAAACTCTCTAACTACATCTATTCCCAAAGAACTGAAAAACATGGCAGAAGTTTCTGGCCTTCCATGTCTATTGTATTTTTCAGGGTGGTAAAGATAGAAAAACAACTTGTATGCCCACTAATTGATAGATGTATACACAGGTCTATATACTTTTGTGCATCTATTGATGGACAAATAGTGATAGACATATTTACAGATCTTCATATATCACATCTCATATACAACGGAATGATACTTAGCAAAAACAAAACCCATCAAAGGACCTGCTGTTTATGACAAAAATAAAATAGTAGGTTATGCTTAGTGATATCACTGTAACTTAAATTAGCATAAGATAGATTGCTTTATTATTTCATACCAAATCTCAAAATAACAGAAGTCAAATATGTAGAAACAGAGTTCCAGCAGTAGAAAAAGGTAGATAATGTTGAAAGTCAAAGACTGGTTTTCAAAAAATTAACTACAAATGTTTCTAACTATATAAATTATTTTGCTTAAAGCAGTAAAAAAGCAAAGCAAAACAATTCATGATCAAGAATGTTAGAAATGCTTTTAAGTCAGTATTGTAACAGCATTCAGCCACACTTTCAGAGACCTGCCTTTAATGAGCAACTTACATAATACATATGTGCTATCTCTGCCACCTAATTCCAAGGTATAAAGGACAAAAGTGGAGTCTTAATACTTCAGAATGTAAATCGCTGCTGACTTTCTAAGCCACAGTCTTGCTATTCAAACCAAAGTTGAGACCAACAATATAAGCAGCCCTGGAAGCTCAATGGAAAAGGAGCTTGGCCCCTGCCAAACTCACCAGACAGAGACCCTACATGCTGCAGGTGCAGTGGCAACACTTTTAGTAAGTTCACCCTGCTGAGATGCTGTTCAGTACCCAGCAGGACATGCGGCTGTGTGAGGCTGACAGGATAATGACAGACTTGGTGGTCAGGCTTGGTTACAGCTCTTTCCAGGATGGGGTTAGGCATGCTATCTACCTCAGTGTCTGTTTTCATCGTCTGCCCAATGAAATGACTACGCACACCTAGTAATAAGGTAAACATTTAAGATGGGAAATGCTTAGGATTATATCGTGACATGCAGTAGGTGACAGTGAACTCTTATTTTCAGTGTTTATTATTATACTGGGGTGGTTCATTTGCCACAAGGGTGAAAAAACCAAACAGGAGTGGCAACAGGAGATTAAAATTGAAGTTCCATCCATCAGTTCTATTTCAGGCAAAAACAAACAAATAAATAAATACATATATGCACACATACATATATATATATTTATAGTCATGCATGCATATATATGTATATATATGTATACACACACACACACACACACACACACATGAATACAAATATATATTGGTTTTTCAAGACAATGGGAGATTAAAATTGAAGTTCCATCCATCAGTTCTATTTCAGGCAAAAACAAACAAATAAATAAATACATATATGCACACATACATATATATATATTTATAGTCATGCATGCATATATATGTATATATATGTATACACACACACACACACACACACACATGAATACAAATATATATTGGTTTTTCAAGACAATGGGAGATTAAAATTGAAGTTCCATCCATCAGTTCTATTTCAGGCAAAAACAAACAAACAAATAAATAAATATATGCACACATACATATATATATTTATAGTCATGCATGCATATATATACGTATATATATATGTATACACACACACACACACACACACACACACATGAATACAAATATATATTGGTTTTTCAAGACAATGTTTCTCTGTGTAGCCCTGGCTATCCTGGGTGGTGGTGGGGGTTGGTGTGGTGTGGTGATTATGTGTGTGTATGTGTTTGTAGACAAACAACTCACAATGCAGTCCTAGTAGGTCTGGAACTCTCACTGTGTAGACCAGGGTAGCCTGTCTCAATTTCCCCAGTGCTGGGATTAAGCCATGCACCATCTTACTCAGACATTTATCAATTTATTATCCACCCCACCTCCACCCCCCATGCACCTCAGAGATTTTGTGTAGCCCTGGCTGACCTGAAACTAGCTCTGTAGAAAATGCTGGCCTTGAACTCACAGAGATCTGCCTGCCTCTGCCTCTTGAGTGTGGGGTTAAAGGAATTCGCCACTACTGCTTGGTTCCTGCTCCCCCTTCTCCCCCATGTATCCCATCTTACCAGCCGCTTGCTGTAAAGCAATGCCGTACTGCTGCCACTGGAAACAGCCCATTTAGAAAAATGCATGACGTGCTCTAGCTGCTTGGAAAGTCCAGCCACTTCTTGCTGTTGTTGCATAAGTTTCATTCTATGGTCCTTTGCAAGACTCTGCAAAGAAAATAATTTCAGCACTAATCTCTATACTTCACATTCATTTAAACAGTTATTTTCAGATAATCAACTGAGAATAAGAAAAACTCTGTATTCAACCGATAGTAATTAAAAATGATCACAAGTTCTTTCCTTCATAATACAAAGCATCACTCTAAATGTAAGAAAAGTACTGCCTTAGAGTTGTCTCCACCTTTTGCTTATAGGTTTGGTTTTATATTGGTCTCTGTGTAGGAAATTTGCTAAATTAAACAATAACAAGAAAAAACCGGACATGGATTAGCTATAATATTGTAAATGTTAAATTCAAAACACACAAGAAACCAGACATATCCAGCTATCTACTCAGATTACCAGTTCATCATAAGATTTAATCACTTCTCGGCCTTTTGGCTAAGATCAAGCGTGTAGTATCTGTTCTATCAGCTTAACATCTGATGCATCCTCTATTGGAGGACAATATATTAAATGGATTTTGGAAGTAGGAGCTGGGAAAGAAGCTTGTTCCATCCACTCCATGCATCGACCTGGTACTGCAGGGTCTCTAGGAACGGTGCACCCTCGCGGGGATTAGAAAAAAAGATTTACCCAATACACAGTTCTACTTTTTAGAGATTCTAACTTCAACTGCCACTAATCTATACCCACAATCATGCCAGGTGGTAACTGAAACTTATCTTGTATTTGGTATTAAAAAAAATAAGATTACTGTCTTGAGAGTTACTTGAGGAGCCAGTAGATAAGTACTACTGTTAATGCATTCTCAGAGGTACCACATCAAAACAGAGTAATGAGTTCTATGCCACCATGGCACCCCCCCTCAAAAAAAAAAAGGGGTCAGAATACAGACTTACTCCATAGAAAATATATACCTAGAAAACAGCAACCAAAACTGGAAGGCACTGTACTTGGGTTATTTAAAAAACAAACTTCATTCATAACTTAGGAGAAGAGATAATAGGGCTTTCTATTAATTTAGAGCAATTACAAACATGGAACTAAACTCTCACTACCTGCTCTCGTCAGTTGTTTGGACAATGCATACAGCTGCACGGCTGAGCTACCGGAGGTGCTTGCTGCTAATAAGTCAATGTCTTTGTCACATCTACCTTAATTCTGACTCAGACAAGATAATTTACCTAATAGCTGCATGTGACCTCTGCCAACTGCAGTGTGTCTTTGGAGTGGAGAACTTTTTGAAGACTTTTGAGAGAACAGGAAATTGAGAATAAGAGGCTCTGGTATTTAAAAAAAAACATGTGAGAAATGACCAAAAAAAGCTGACTGCCTTGTGAGTCACCCAAGGTTCCTCTGCAACACTGGGGCATCCATCTCTGGCTTATAGGCCTATCATCTCTGATAGACTTTTCTGTGAAGCAGAATTTTCTGAAGGACTGTCCTGCCTTGTCTTGGAAAGGTTTTGCCATCACTCTTCTTTTGGGTCCTGTTTGTCCATTTTGAACAGCATACTGTCAGCAGACAAGGCAAGGGTACTTTCTTGTCCAGTGCCTTACTTTTGCTACAAAGAAAGTAAACTCCATGTGAATTCCTTTGATGCCTATTATCTTTTCTTAAGTAGACTGACAGTGCCAGGAGCAGGTATATCTCATTGTCATAAAAAATAACCTATGATATTAAAACATTTTAAGTTCCATATTCTGTAGACCTCTAAAGCGTTTGAAGATGGCCTGTCTTTCTAAACTATATCTTTGTTTTTCTTTGAAAACATACCTAGCATGATTACCAACAATATAATAAGAAAATGTGGGTGAGTAATTAGTAACAAATGAACTTGTGAACATGCCAGGGTTCGGGACTGGATTGACTTATATTTGGGGCTTCAGTTCTATTCTATTGGTCATCATGTCTATTTCTGTGCCAATACCATGCTGTTTTATCACTATACTTTTGTAGTACAATTTGACATTGAGGATAGTAAGACCTCTATCTGTTCTCTGGTCACTCAGGATTTTTTTTTTTTAGTTATCCTGCATATTTCTTGTTTCTATATGATACCAGAAATTGTCCTTTAATGTTCTGTGAAGTCTTGTGTTAGGGTTTTGATGGAGATTGCAATGAATTTGTAGATTGCTTTTTGTAGGGTGGTCATTTTTACTATGTTGGTGCTACCAATATATGAACATGGGAAATCTTTGCATCTTCTGATACCTTCTTCAATTTATTTATATTGATAGGATACATGATACTCAGATATTAGAGGCAAAGAGTTTTCCTGCAACATGTATTATCTCTTTACTTTGCTAATGGTGTTTCTGAAGAAGTGCTGAAAATTTATTGTATATTTTCTTATAAGATGTAGTAGTCACAGCCGGGCGTTGGTGGCGTATGCCTTTAATCCCAGCACTCAGGAGGCAGAGGCAGGTAGATGTCTGTGAGTCTGAGGCCAGCCTGGTCTACAGAGCAAGTTCCAGGACAGCCTCCAAAACAATACAGAGAAACCCTGTCTTGAGAAACAAACAAAAACAAACAAAACAAAAACAAAAAAGGATGCAGTAGTTACTTTTCACATTAAAATGGCTAATAAAGCTTTTTTTATGTTAAAAAAAAAGCAGCACTGGTATCTTGGTTTTATGAGGTAGCAAATAAAACTAGCTCCATTCATCTGCTGCACAGGGAAATTCTGGACCAGAGGAATGGGCATGATGTCTCGAGGCAAAATCAATAGCTACTATGCAATTTTTAAGTCCAAGTTCATCAAAACTAACACTGAAGGCCAAGCACAGTTTTGTAGAATCTAGAGTCTTACTCATTCTTTTTTTTTTTTTAAGATTTATTTATTGATTTTAGTCATTCTGACAGGAGTGAGATGGTATCTCAGAGTTGTTTTGATTTGCATTTCCCGGATGGCTAAGGATGTTGAGCACTTTCTCAAGTGCCTCTCAGCCATTTTAGACTCCTCTATTGAAAATTCTCTATTTAGTTCTGCAGCCCACTTTTTAATTGGATCCTTTGGTGTTTTGGAGACTTGCTTCTTGAGTTCTTGGTAAATTTTGGAGATCAACCCTCTGTCAGATGTGGGATTAGTGAATATTTTTTCCCATTCTGTGGGCTGCCTTTTTGTCTTGCTGACTGTGTCCTTTGCCTTACAGAAACTTCTCAGTTTCAGGAGGCCCCATTTAGTAATTGTTGATTTCACTGTCTGTGCTAGTGGTGTTATGTTCAGGAAGCTGTCTCCTGTACCAATTCGTTCAATGGTACCACCCACTTTCTCTTCTAAGAGGTTCAGTGTGGCTGGATTTATATTGAGGTCTTTGAACCATTTGGACTTAAGTTTTGTGCATGGCGATAGACATGGATTGATCCGCATTCTTCTACATGCCAGCCTCCAGTTATGCCAGCACCATTTGTTGAAGATGCTTTCTTTACTTCATTGTATATTTTTAGCTTCTTTGTCAAAAATCAGATGTTCATAGGTGTGTGGGTTAATATCCGGGTTTTCAATTCGATCCCATTGGTCTACCTGTCTATTTTTGTGCCAATACCAAGCTGTTTTCAGGACTATAGCTCTATAATAGAGCTTGAGGTCAGGGATGGTGATGCCTCCGGACGTTGCCTTGTTGAACAGGGTTGTTTTGGCTATCCTGGGTCTTTTGTTTTTCCATACAAAATTGATTATTGTTCTTTCAAGGTCTGTGAAGAATTGTGCTGGGATTTTAATGGGGATTGCATTGAATCTGTAGATTGCTTTTGGCAGGATTGCCATTTTTACTACATTGATCCTACCTATCCAAGAGCATGGGAGATCTTTCCATTTTCTGAGGGCTTCTTTAATTTCTTTCTTTAAAGATTCAAAGTTCTTGCAATACAGGTCTTTCACTTGTTTGGTTAGCGTTACCCCAAGGTATTTTATGTTGTTTGTGGCAATTGTAAAGGGTGATGTTTCTCTTGATTTCTTTTTATCATCTGTATATATTAGGGCTACCGATTTTCTTGAGTTGATCTTGTAGCCTGCCACTTTGCTGAAGGTGTTAATCAGCTGTAAGAGTTCCCTGGTAGAGTTCTTTGGGTCATTGATGTAAACTATCATATCATCTGCAAACAGTGAAAATTTGACCTCTTCCTTCCCAATTTGTATCCCCTTGATCCCCCTTTGTTGCCGTATGGCAATGGCTAGAACTTCAAGTACCATGTTGAAAGGTATGGAGAGAGTGGACAGCCTTGTTTTGTTCCTGATTTTAGAGGAATTGTGTTGAGTTTCTGTCCATTTAGTTTGACGTTGGCTGTTGGTTTACTGTATATAGCTTTTATTATGTATAAGTATGTCCCTGTTATCCCAGATCTCTCCAAGACCTTAATCATGAAGGGGTGTTGGATTTTGTCAAAGGCTTTTTCAGCATCTAGTGAGATGATCATGTGATTTTTGTTTTTCAGCTTGTTTATATGGTGGATTACGTTGATGGATTTTCGTATGTTGAACCATCCCTGCATCCCTGGGATGAAACCTACTTGATCGTGGTGAATGATTGTTTTGATGTGCTCTTGGATCCGATTTGCCAGTATTTTATTGAGTATTTTTGCATCAATGTTCATGAGGGATATTGGTCTGAAGTTCTCTTAGTTGTGTCTTTGTGTGGCTTGGGGATCAAGGTTATTGAAGCCTCATAGAAAGAGTTTGGCAAAGACCCTTCTGCTTCTATTGTATGGAATACTTTGAGAAGAATTGGTATAAGCTGTTCTTTGAATTTCTGGTAGAATTCTGCACTGAGGCCATCTGGACCTGGACTTTTTTTGGTTGGGAGACTTTTGATGACTGCTTCTATTTCCATAGGGGTTATAGGTCTATTTAAATTGCTTATCTGTTCTTGATTTAGTTTTGGCAAGTGATAGCTATCCAGGAAGTCATCCATTTCCTTTAAATTTTCGAATTCTGTGGAGTACAGGTTTCAAAGTATGACCTGATGATTCTCTGGATTTCCTCAGAGTCTGTTGTTATGTCCCCCTTTTCATTTCTGATTTTGTTAATTTGCATGAGGGGATAATGGGGGGTTGGGGGGAGGGCACGGGAGGAGGGGAGGGAAAGGGAGAGGGACCTGGAACTGACTTGTGAAGCAACCTTGTTTCTAATCTAAATTTAAACTGAAAAAAAAAAGATTTATTTAGTTATTATGTATACATTGTTCTGCCTCCATGTATTCCTGTAGGCCAGAAGAGGGCACCAGATCTCATTACAGATGGTGGTGAGTCACCATGTGGTTGCTGGGAATTGAAATCAGGACCTCTGAAAGAGCTCTTAACCTCTGAGCCATCTCTCCACCTCTCATCCTTATTTTAACACTCTTCAAGTGAACAAAGCCAAGGCATTACTGCTAAAGTGATGTGTGTAAAAAACTGAAAATACCAAATTCTGCTTAATGTGCCCATTTTTAACACAACAACTGCACAATCTTGAGAACACAGTTACCATAACTGGACACTGATTTCTTCTAGACAAAGCACTTCCTAACTATCTCCATAATAGCAGAATTATGAACAGCCATGTTTTCCTAGCAGGGATAAGACTTTAGATAGAGATCTCATCAATTGGTCAACTATGAATTAAAGTTCAATTCTTTACATATTAGCACTGTTTCTGCTCTTTTTCTCAACTGCTTCTTGACTATAAATTCTCTCTCTCCACATACTGAAAGAATAACTAAACACAATACAGTAAGTTTACATGCCATATACACTGTAATCTCATAGTACTGATGAACTTAAGAAAGGGAGCAAACCAGTACATGGTGACACAGGCCTTTAACCCAGCACTTGGGAAGAGAGGCAGGTAGGTCTCTGTGAATTTTGAAGCCAACCTGGTTTGCAAACTGAGATCCTACCCCCTACCCCCCAATAAAGATCAAGATAGTACATTTTAAAATTGTTTTACCTGTAACTATAAACTAACCTGTCTTGAGCATATACTCCCTAAATGCTGCTTTCACAATTAAACCTACAAAATGCAGCTGAGTATGATAGTATGATACTGGAACTCAGTATCTAGGAGGCTGTGGCAGGAGGATTTTGAGTTCAAGGACAGCCTGGGCTACACAGGGATTAAAAAAACCAGAAAAAAAACCCCAAAGACATACAATATTTTATTTTTGTTGCTGCTTTGAATCAGAGGTCTCAGTATGGAGAAATCCCACCTACCTCTATCTCCTGAATGCTGGAATTATTTTACCTAATTACTCAGGTTAATTAAATGCCATGCACTACTAACAACAGGTTGTGATAAATATGCCATTTGGTATTTTTATCATTGTGCAAGCATTATAGAGTGTACCTCCATCAGAGACAGATGGTCATGAGGTGACACAGTATACAATCTTAAGAGATCACTATTACAGCTTGCTATTGATAGGAACATCATTATGTGCTTCAAGACTATTTGAAAACTAAATATCTCAAACAGTGTATCTTTCTAGAAAATTCTGCTTAACTCCATCATCCCATTGGTGATACAATGGCTGTCACTTCAGTAAATGTGTAAGGTGACTGACCAACATTGACAGAGATCCCTAGTGAAGCTTTTTGCTTAGTGCTGTAGGGCGCATTTGGGGGGATTAGGACACCCTAGTGTATGACAGGCTATAAGCAGGCGGCAAAGGGAAGCATGCTGAGTCACAGTCCCGTAGCACTGCCACGACTCACCTCAAGTTGGTGCAGCAAGGCTTTCCCTTTCTTGTTTATCTCCACCATCAACGTAAAGATGGCAACTTTAATATCCTGTTCCACCTGCTTTTGGTTTTGATTTACTTCAATTATTCTGAAAATGAATTGAAAAGGACAGAATACCTAAAATTAATGGCAGACTTTTCAAGTATTCAAATTGACTATCTTAATATCTAAATTAGACCAAAATGTTTGGTCTTTCAAAGTTCTATCTCCAAGCCCTATTTAATTTGTCTAGAAGAGAAGACATTAGAAACAATAATTCAGTGAAACAAAACTCAGAGAGTAAGTATATTTTAAAGAACATGGTTCTAAAAAAATATGTCATACAGCAAAAGCAGTATGTTGACATAAAAGGGAGTAAACTACACCTAGACTTTACAGTCAAGATGAAACAAAATTATGACTGGGAACAAGTTCTGCTCTGTATGTGTGGTAACTCTGATCTCAGGTGTCTAAACTGGCAATTTTTCATCACAGCAGATTAGAGAAGCAAAAGTCAACACTTAACAATTAGTTTACTTTTCTGAATGGTCCAGAGGTTGAAGTACTTGCTGCACAAGATCCCCAGAACCCACATGAATGCAGGGTAGGTGTGGAACCCACCTGTAACTCCAGCCTAGGAAAGGGGACCGGGAACTGGCTAGCAACACTAGACAGATCAGCCAGGTCGGGGTTTAACTGAGAGACTCTGCCTCAGTGAATAAAGTACGAGACAGAGGATGATCCCGACATTAACCCCAGGCCTCCACACACCTGTGTACTTATGTACATTCGCACCAGCAAATTCAGATGCCCACACACTTGCAAACACATATATACAAACACCCCCCAATACACGTGGAAATGGGGGAGGGTCTTGAAATAAACAGTCAAGTAGTTGAAAAAAAAGTTTAACATTAATTAAAATATGATTACAACAGATTTACTAATAAGCTACCTTAGGAAATGTTGGGGACACAAAGGTCCTTGCATGCACAGATCGCTAGGGAAAGCAGGAATGTTCATCATGCAGGGGTGTCTTCTCAAAGAAAGAAATATGTGTTTTCTACCCAGAAGGCTGGGAGTGGATGTTGTTAATGACTAGGTGACCTTTTGCTATCTGTAGAGGCAGATCTCACCCAAATCTCCCAAAATGTTATCCCAGACTTTCCCTCTCTAGGTTAACAGAACCCATCCTTAGGGGAGATGTCACGTGTGTTTCATAGCCTGCTGACCTCAAGCTATCAGTCAAGAGACCACACTAGCCTTTTAGCTACAGAACCCGCCTTCAAGGTCACATGTACTCTGTAAAGGAGTTCCTATGTAGCCACACCTTAAGCTTTACTGTGTACCTGGAACTAAAATGATTGTTGCCTGGAAACTTTTCCCCAAATTCAACTGTGCTTAAATATGCTGACAATAAACTGCCTGGCATCTGACTCTAAGAAGTTTGATCCACTTTGACAAAGTCAACCTGAACTGAGTTTTCATCCTCACCCCTTTGTAGTTTATTTCTTTGCCTGCTGGGAACCCTTAAGAAAACACTAAATACATAGAAAGCAATTAAGCTGAGAGGCTATGAGTTAGTGTTATCCCATGGCAGATAGCTTACTAGCTGGTTTCTCTTAGACATACAGGAAAGGAAAGGAAACAATTATACTTCTGACTTAACTAGAACTTAAGTCTGCTGAAGTTGTGCTTTCATAAAATCATTCATTAGAGCTGCTTGCTGTTTAAAAGTCCCGACTTCCTAGAAGAGGCAAACTTGAAGACATGTCCTTGTTAAAGAAACTGGAACTGTTTCTTTGCCTCTATGAACTCACTCAAACTGCACTAGCTAGGGGCCCTTCTTCTGGGTGCCTAGTTGAATCCTTTGCTGGCTTGAACTACTTTATGTTTTATGAGACAATTACTTTTATTATTATTTAGAGAAAATGCAGGAGAAATGGACAGAAAGAAAAAGTAGCACCACACACCACCACACTGTAACAGTTTTCAAGAGACATTTGGTGTCTACGCACCCAGAGCCACACAATTACACAAAGCTGCCTTTTCCTGCCTGCTCTGCTCCTCCCACAGACACCCTAAAACTTAAGATCACAGTTGCAGAGACTGTACTGTTGCAAATTTTCAAGATAATTGCTTGAGATGCTTCAGAAATCAGGTAGATGTACAAAGCACCAAAACTCACTAAAATTCAGTGGTTCAACAGGATAAATAAGGAAAACACTGCCATATTTTAAAACAAATTAATACCAAAGTTGGCATAATTTTCACCCTTCTGCAATTAGGTAGGCTACTATATGCTAGCGATATACGTCAGTGGAAAGAAACAAGGACAAAGGGAAAGAAAAGGGCAATTAGCACCAACCTAAAGATTTTTTTTTTTTCCAGACAGGGTTTCTCTGTGACGTTGGAGGCTGTCCTGGCACTCACTCTGTAGCCCAGGCTAGCCTCTAACTCACAGAGATCCACCTGCCTCTGCCTCCAGAGTGCTGGGATTAAAGGTGTGTGCCACTAACGCCCGGCAACCTAAAGATTCTTTAATATCACAATTCAGAAACCAAAGCCTCCTACACAGCAATGCTACTATTTTATTTAAGGAAGTAACCCTTATTTGTAAGCCGGGTAGCTTTTGAGAAGTTAAGAATGAAACTCAAGATAAGTGTTGGCTACACTGCAAGTTCAAAGCCAGGCAAAGCTACATGTGATATTGCCTCAAAAGCAAACACACACCCAAAATGAAAATACACATATTAAAGAGATCCTAACCAGTCAGAGCTTGGCAAATACGGCTATGGCAAGGTCTTGCACTTCTCCCATTCTCTCTGATTCTCTAAAGTTAGTCACCGAGGTCTACTCCCTTATTTGACTACTTCCTCCCCCTGAGGCTGACTACCAAGGTCCAGCTTTCAAAGTATCAAGTCCAGCAATCAAAGCCCCCTAGGCTCACCTAATTAACATGCCCAATTAAAATTAAACACCTCAGTCTAACACAAGGGTTCCCCTTTTATCTTTATAAACTGCCATTTGTCTACCTGCTACATCTATCTCCTATCTACCCAGAGGCAGTCCTTTGTGCTTCCATGGCAAATATCCCTTCCCCCTCTCCCTCGTCCTCTACTCTTTGTCTCTATTTCCAGCACTCTATCCTTCTGGAACACATAGATCTCCTTGTGCGGAGAACTTGGTTTTATGGTGTCTTGTGCCGATTCCATGTCTTTCATTGTGGATCTCTATGAATTCAAGGCCAGCCTAGTCTACATAGTAAGTTCCAGGACAGCCAGACTATACAGGTTCCTGTCTTCAAACAAAACAAGCAAGCAAACAAACAAACAAAATCATACAAAACTTTGTTTCAAAAACAAAACTAAACAAAATCCCAAACACTTCATCCCAATTTGTTTCATAAAACAGTAAGAATGACTATGATGACTGGTTTTGAGCAAATGACCCACAAAGGCTGATACAATTTTGCTCATGAACAATATTGAGATGCACAGAGCAGCCTCTCTTAATCACGGTCTTCCCACTCAGTGCTTCTCCTGTAGACAGCTGCAACTTGCTTTTGTGCATAAAGCAAAACAAAGAGGTTGCTTGGTGTGCTAAAGTGAAATGTGAATGTCAGCAAGTGTCCTCAATGGATGTGAGCATGGGGGACAGCTGATTTCCTTCATGGGGCAAAAAGGGCTTAATAAGTAGTATCTAGAAACAGACAGAACAGTGTTATGTTACAGTTTTCTGGAGATTGAAACATTCCATCCTATAGGGATGCTTATTAAGCAGGAAGGTAAACAATTCAAAATAGCTTCAGGAAGTCCCTGAAACATACCAAGTTCACTAAGTATCTCCCTGCCAGAGTAACTAATAAAAGCTGAATTGTGAAGATGACCAGAGCCGCTGATTGGAAGTTGCAAAAACATGCCCAGCTGCCTCTAAGAGGTTTGGACCAACTCGGGCACCTGGCAAGGACACTCTACAGCTTGTCGAGATGCCTGTGGGCTGTACAGTGCCCAGTGTGCTGCAGGTTCTCAGCTTTGTGAACTGCCACTCCTGTGTGTGCTTTGGTGATGCAGCTGCCTTTGATTCATTTTTGCTCTCCATAAACCTGTAAGTAACCCCAATAAATCTCACTGGTTTACCAAAGTGGACTTTCATGGTTCTTGTTCCTCCGACTTCTGCCCTCCAAATTCATGACATTTTATTACTGATATTGAAAGACCCCGAATTTATAGAAATAAAATACAAGCTTAAACAGGGAGGGCACCCCACTAGAGAACTTGGGAATTGAACAAAGGACCCCGCCCCAGGAACTGGCCAAACCACAGAATGGAATGTATGGTTTAGCAACCTTAATTGCAGAAGGGCTGTAAACCCACAAAAGGCCAATTCCGGGCTGCTGACCACCTGTGAAGAACTGACCAGGGCGTCAGAGATGGGCAAACAAGATTTGTGGGAAACAAGGAGACGATAACCACCATTTACTTAAGGAGAGATGATTAACTCATATCAAGGTTTGAGGAATTTACAACGTGTAGGTCAGGAAGACATCTACTTCCCCTGGTCAGTAGTCACGTACCCCCTTCCCCCCGTCACAAGATAGGGACCCCCCCCAAAAGCTTGTGGTTTTTGTCTTTAAAAGCTGATTGTAACTGAACCTCGGGGCCAATCGGTCTAAAAGCTGACCGAGAGGCCCATCTGCAGATGCCTAATTAAAGCCTCTTGCGTGTTGCATCAATTGGCGCGTGGACTCTTGATTCTTGGGGTGACGAATCCAGCTTGGGGACCCCTCCTCAATTCGGGGTACCCCAACAATATATAGACAGATAAATACATATGATATATATACTACATATGTATATAAATGTATACACACTGTGTATATGTGTACCGGTTCCCTATCTGGGGTGAGTAAACATGTGTGCTATGTCTTCCAGGAAATGTTTGGCCACTACAAAAGGAACATCAAAGTTTAGTAATACCCAGTCTCAACGTGCACTCAAACGTCCATCCGGTGTGACTAAAGCATCAGGGCCCAGGAGGCAACTTAAATATTAGCAAACATAAGAACAGCAGTTAAGTACATAATCAAGTACTAAAATAGTTACGTTATTGGCAAAGCTAGCTTTTTCTCAATCTTGAAAATTTTAAAATTAGAAAACATCAGATGATTTTAAGTACAGATGAAATAAATAAGGTATTATTTATTATACATCTTCATTTTATAAGTGAAGAAACTGCTATCTAACCAAAAGTTTCTGAAAAAGCCTTACTAACCATAAACTATTTGTAATTCAAAAGTTTACCAATACTTTATAGTAAGTTAAGAACAAAAAAAAAAAACCTAGAAATGCATTCATTTACTATACATAAATGATTTACTTACATTGTCATAAATATAAACTTACCTGTTTTGGATCTGATTTCCTGTATACTTTATGTATTTTGTTTTTTCCATCAGCTTGGTGATTAGTGTATCTATGATCACTTTTTGATTCTGAAAAGCTTCTTCTATAAATTGATACCTGAAGAAATAATAAGCAAATCACTTCATACAAATGTCTATATAAAAAGCTCAAAAGTTTAAAAAACAAAATCTAACTAAGGCGAGAATGTGGGGCTAGAGAGAAGACTCTGGCTAAGAGAACTTCTAGAGGCAGCTCACAATCACCTGAACTGCAATCCCTGAGGACCATCCTCTCTGTGGGTACCTGAATCCACATGCACACACATACAAAGACACACACATGAATAATGAGTCTAAAGGAAGAAAGATAATATAAAGGGTATTTAAAAAAAAACCTTTGAAAATAGTGAATATGGGCTGGCAAGATGGCCCCAGTAGGTAAAGATGCTTACTGCCAAGTTTTCTTTTGATTCCTAGGACCCCTATGGCAGGAGGAGAGTTCCCACAGCTGTCCCCTGACCTCTGCACACATAATGTGGTACGCATGTATGCAAGCACATGCACACATACAAAGTCTAAAAAAGGTAGGCTTTCCCATCTGCTCAAATTATTATTCAAGAAAGGAAGTCTTTAGATACTCTTCAAGATATAGTAGTGAACACCCAACATTCATAGTTTTAGAGGCTTATACACACCATATCTGATAGATGTAGTGAACACCCAACATTCATAGTTTTAGAGGCTTATACATCACATCTGATAGATGTAGTGAAAAGCAGTCAAAGATTTGTTAACTATTCTAAAAGTTGCCGAGAATAAGCACTTTCACCCAGTGGGGTAGTGCAATTAATCCCAGCATTTGGGAGGCAGAGAGGCAGGACGATCTCTGTGAGTTCAAGGACAGCCTGATCTACAGAGTGAGTTCCAAGGGCAGCCAGGATTGTTTACACAGAGAAACCCTGTCTCAAGAAACCAACCAACCATAAAAACAAAACAAAACACAACAACAAAACAAACCACTTTCAAGATCATTTCTAAATAGTAAACAGCTGTGTTGTACAAGGTACAAAATTATCCTTTTGGGATAAATGGGGGAGGTATTTGATATTGTACCTTTTGATAAAGTCTAGAGTGACCTATAACAAGACACAGCATTTAGCAGTTGCTATTAACCTGGAAGTCACGATGTCTGACTGGTAAATTACAGAAAACAGGCAGACTGAGTGTACATTACAGAAAGAACTTTAGCAAGTTTTACACAGTAGGAGGAAGCTTATCATTATCCCCAAGCCAGAAAACCCAGGTCCCATACTGAGTCCCACAAGAAGGAGAGGAAAGAGCAGACTCCTGTAAGCTGTCCTCTGACCTTCACAGGCATGCCCCAAACATGAAAAATGAAACATTCCAAGTGCTGGGTACTCGGGATGCTCAAGTAATCCTGATCTACAGTCACTGCTACACAGCAAGACCTTTCCCAAGTAGAGAAAGCTGGTATTTTTAAAGTATAAAAAGAATAACTGCAAACCAAGAATTCTGCCCAAGGAACATATGTAAATGAAGGTGAAAAACTGATTGTAGTAGTGTACACTAGGGAGGGAGGCAGGCAGGAGAATCTCTGTGAGTTCTAGGATAGCCAGAGCTATATAATAAAGACCCTGTCTCAAAACAGGTAAAAAATATTTCAGACAATCTGGGGGCTCTATCTCTGGGACAGCCTCAGTAAAGTACCCTTGAGTAAATAAAATACTGACGGAGAACCATGAAGGAATAAAGAGAAATGGTAGGAGCAAAGTTAAGTAAGTACTGATTGACTTAGGCAATAAAAGTAATGGCCTGTGTATAATATATGCATATATACCACATATGACAAAGTAAGGGACATACTAGGAGACAGGTTGTATCCTAATAAGGTTCATGTCCAGTCCCAGAAGAAATACAAATTAACACCAGATAAGATTGTAACTCCAAGAGTAGTCAGGGCCAGTGAGACGGTTCAGCAGGTAAATGCACTTGCTGTGCCAACCTCACAACCAGAGCTGGAGCCACAGAACCCAGGGGAAAGGGGGGAACTGATACTCAAACACTGTGGCACAGGTGAGCCTGCACTCACACGCATGCACGCACGCACACGCACACGCGCACACACACACACACACACACACACACACACACACACACACGGTGGCACACTACGAAGGACGATCTCTGTTGAGTTTGAGACAAGCCTGGTTACATAGGTCTAGATCAGACAGGGCTATGCAGTAAGAGTCCACATAAATAACAACAATGAAACCATCAAACACACAAAACAAAAGCCCCACCAAAGCAAAGTCTTCTCAGTTTGTGGCACTAGCACGGTGAGCCAATGACTCTCAATGTATACTGACTATAGGACAATGTCTTACGGGTATTTTAAAATTATTTTTGAGCTTTCATTTATGGAGGCAGAGGCATACAGGGGTACAACTAACATGAGAGCCAAAGTTACATTTTAAGTTTTAATTACTATACCTAAGAGATCCATGAAACAAAGATGTCTCTTGATCTGTAAGCCCCTTACCTAAGGACAGATAATTCCTGAAATGTTGGACGCTATTGTTTTTGGGAAATAACAAGCTACCTATTTTTCACTCCCCTAAACAACTTTGACTCATCTGCACCGGATGTGCTTAATCACACGTGGGCAGGATGTTCATAGGCTGGAAATATGTCAGGATGTATGCTGGCCCCTGACTGGGCACTGTGATCCCTGACTGGGCACTGTGACTGGGCACTGTGATTGGGCACTGTGACTGGGCACTGTGATTGGGCACTGTGATCCCTGACTGGGCACTGTGATTGGGCACTGTGATCCCTGACTGGGCACTGTGATTGGGCACTGTGACCCCTGACTGGGCACTGTGATTGGGGCTGTTTCCTAGGAATCTGGATATGGACCTGGCCAGAGCCCATCCATCTGGCCAGTATTTACTTAAAGCTCAATTCAAATTTGGCTTTGAACTGTAGTAGTGGTCTTATTCTTGATTGGTGGGATTATTAACACCAGCACCTAAGAGGTAAGAGAGGATGTTGCTACCCACCATATAATGCATAGCATTCAATGTACTGTCTGGACCGAAACATAAGGGAAACTGAAATTGAGAAACCCGTGTGTAAGCCAGCTTGCCACTGGCCAAACAAAGCACATACAAATTGCCATTCAGCCAGAGCAGCAGTAGAGTACAGGCATCATAAAAGGTGTGCTGCTGATCTGAACACAACAGAAGGTGCTGGTACCTATGCTCCTTGTGTTCCAGCAGCTGGCAGTCCCGACACGTCAGCTTGTCACATGTTTCACAGTAAAGTTTCAACTGTTCCTTTTTATGGAATGGACAGAACACTGGTCGCTGACTGGTCACACCAACTGCCTCTGCAAAAACAACAGATAGCAATTGAATAGGAAATCATTAGATGGTCCATTTCTACTCAATTCCACAGACATAAAAGACCTACATTTCTTTCATCGTATGTAGTTAGCCAACACTGCATTACAGATTTTGAAATAAATATTCTCAAGGCTGGTGACTAAAGGTATCCAAGCCTGATGAACTAAATTTAATCCCCAGGACCCACGTGGTGGAAGGAGAGAACCAACTCCCACAAAGGGCCTACACACATACTCACATAGAATAAATTGTAAAAAATAAAAATAAAAAAACTTCACAGACACTTTTCAAGACTCTCAAGGAAAACACTTTAAGGAGTAATGTAAATGATTAGATACATAATTAAAAACTGGTTTATAGAATTACAAAGTCTTAAGATAGTCCCTCTGAGTGTAAACTAACCAAATGTTTCTATCCTAACTATGAGGCAGGAGGGTCAGAATGTGTCGACTTAAGCTGGAAGGGTGGCTCAGCAGTTAAGAAGACTTCTGCTCTTCCAGGACCTGGGTTCCATCACAGCAACTACCAGCAGTTCACAACCCTCTGTAACTACAGCTCCACATGTACCAGGCACGAAAGTGCTGATGCACAGACACACATGCAGGCAAAATACCCAGACCCATACACATAACTTTCCTAACAGTTGAGTACGCATCTCTGTTGTACAATGGCATATTTTTTCTTCATAAGATAGCTGTATTTTAGTTTGTGGACTGCCCCCGCCCCCTCTACTGGGAATTGAACCTAGAGCTTTATATAAGCTAAGCAAATATTTTACCACAACTACTTTTAGTTTTGTGAGGAGACTGCACGAATTTATATTTCCATCAACACCATAAGGCTCTTCCTGCATCCTTATTAGATTTTTATTATTATTACACTCACTCTGACTTCCATAAGGTAAAATATAAATGTAGTTGCATTTGCATAGTCCTGATGGCTTAGGCAACTGAACATTTCCTTATATAGTTACCCACATTTCTTTTACTGACTGGACTGCTTCAGGGGTGTATTTTGATGTCTAATTTTTTTACTTCATATATTTTAAACTTCTGTGTATGCTCACGTATGTTTGGGTGCACATATGTGTAGTGCACGTGCACACATGTGAACATGTTTATATAGATAAGAGATAACCCTCAGGTGTCATTCCTCCGGAGCCACCTATTTTTGATCCTCATTAGCTTCTCACTAGCGTGTGTCTGTGTCCTCCATTCCCAGATGCTTCACCACTCAGATTCCAAAAGTGAGTCATCATGCTAGGCTCTTTAAATGCGGCTATCAGTGACTGAACTCAAGTCCTCGTCCTTGTCCAGCAAGTGCTTTACTAACTGAGGCAACTGCTCAGCTCCTGTGTATAGTCTAAGCCTTAATCCTCTGTCAGAGTAAGAGCTATGGCCTTTTTACTGTTGTGTTTACTTTGCTGCACAGAAACCTTTTAGTTTCATAAAATCCCATTTGTCAAGTCTTGTTATTATTTCTTAGCCTATTTGGTCTCTGGAAAGATGACTCAGCAGTCAAGAGCACTGGCTGCTCTTCCAGAGGACCCAGTACCCACATCCGCTGGCTCAGAACTGCCTGCTGACTTTAGTTCCAGTTCAGATAGTATCTTCTGACCTCTACAGGTACTGTGTGAGTGTGGCACAGACCCACGCACGCATTCACAACAAGCAAATCTTCCTTTTTTTATTTAATTAGGATGAGGTTTATTATTCGTGAGCCTGGGACTTGAACTCAAGGTCTTCTGCATGCTAGACAAGCATTCTACCACTGAGCTGTATTCCCAGCTCTATCAACAAATCTTTATTTAAACAGAGTCCTTTCTCAAAAAGTACATGCATAAACCTCTCAGATCGGGACATAGTTTTTATGGCTTCTATTAAAAAAACGTCTTCCCACACTCATAGGCAAACTTTATTGAATTTATATACTAGAGACATCTAAAATATTTGTATGATTTTAAATTCTTTGAAAAACCTTAGAAGTAGCCAGAAAGGAAACTGAGTAATAGACTTATATTATCTCACCATGAGTTAATGAAAAGCTGATAATAAAAAGAAATAAACCCTAGGAACTGGGAAATTTCCCTTCTTTTAAAGAATTCTTACAGGGGCTGGGGATATGGCCCTACTGGCAGTGTCTGACCGGCACCGATGAGCCCCTGTTCAATCCCCGTCACCCCAGAAGCAGGGCATGCTGGCTCAGGCCTGTAGCCAGGAGGCTCACAAGCTCCAGGTGATGCTCGCTAAAATCAGTTCTTGGGTTCATAACAATCACACTGTACAGCAACTTACTACAATAATACATCATAGTCATTCATAGAACTACCAAAGTAAAAAACTAAAAACAAAGCCCAAAACTCTGTAAGTGCAGAATATTTTTAAATGAACTGAAACAATGATAAACTATAATTCAAACACTTATCCTAAAACACATATATAGCTCACCTGTCCTAGCAATAATTTTTTGACGGGGTGGAAGGAGTGGGGAGGGGCTGAGAGGGAGGGGGCACACAGGTTTCTATCTATTATGTAGCTTTGGCTGTCCTGGAACTTGCTATGTAGATTAAGCTGCCTCCTCCCGAGTGTTGGGATTGGAGGTGTGCATCACCACACCCACTTCTAGTAATAGAAATTTAAGATACAGGGAATTGAAAAGAAACGCAAGGCTGGTGAGCTAAAGGGCTTAAATAACTGGGTAAATACACTTAAAGAGCTATTTCTATAAATAAAAATAAAACCAAATCTACCATGTAAGTTAAAAAAAGTAAACTCACAATGAAAAAAGAAAAATAGCCATAGAAAAATTTGGTAGTTGTTACGGTTCAGATGTGAAATGCTCCCTCTGTCCCCAAAAGCTCCTGTTTTGAAGGTCTGGTCCTCAGTTGTTGAGCCAGTCACTAAAGGACCAGATTATGAAAGGCTGTAGCCTAGACACCAGGACTGATCCACTCTACCCCTTCCTCCCAAGTGCTGGGATAACAGCACTCGCTCCCAAACCTTCCTCATGCCAAAGAAGTTCAGATTACTTTGTAAGACAAGCCAGAGACCTATGCTTCATTTTAAGTACTCATCACTAACCACACTGTACAAATTTTGTTGCTCAAAATAATTCTTTAATTATCAATTCAACAATCTCACTCTAATCACTCTTCCTTTCTAACCTTCTTTGATATCCTGACTATATCACTAATCCCTTATCAGTTATAGCCAATAGTCATCCTATTAATCAAGACTTTGTTCCTCTTTTATCCTGTGAAAATCCTGACCACTTCAACATGCACTATATGAATCTCATTTCTCTAAGGTCTGTCTAGTCAACTCAACCCTATACATGTTACAAATTTCTATACCAACATCTAGACTGCCAAGCCCCGATAGAGAAAGATTTATGGTTTCTACATCATGCAACTCTTCAGTTTCTATAGCTAGAGCTCTTTCAGCTGGAGCTATTTGGCCTCCAACCTAAATCCTAGAATCTGAGGTTGAGACTCTTGGTAAATATTCTAACAGAATTTAGTAGGCCGAACTATGGTTATTTATTTACTTAAATTCTTTATTATATACTCCTATAGTACAGGAGGCATGTGCCATTTTCATTTCTAGTAAATAGTAAAATTTAGAATATAAAGGAGGTAGGTGTGCATGCACACACACTGGTCGGCTCAAAAACAAAAAGTAGGAAAACAAAAAGAACAATAATATGTATGAGCTCTTAAAGCATGATGCGACTTGGGGCTGGAGAGCTGGTTCATCGGTTGTGATACAACAGCCTGATTCCATTTTAAGGATGGAAGCCATTTTGTTATAAGGTCACACAAGTTCATTTTTGTTTGCTGCAAAATTCAAGTGGACCATGCTTTAACCCTGTTTCTGTAATATGACACACTCCCCACTCGAGTTTGACTCTCACCTTAAACATTCTCTGACCAGATGTTCTGTCTAATAATTTTGAAATGTTCAGCCAAGTTCCTATATAACCATTTTTCCTCGGAAAATCCTCGACACTTGAGAACCCCCAGTCTTGCAGTTTCTTAGGCTATATAACCCTACCTTCTCCTGTGTTCAGGGCTACTTTCTCAAACTCTACTTTAGAAAGATAGCCCTGCGGCCAGGCGGTGGTGGTACACACCTTTAATCCCAGCACTAGGGAGGCAGAGGCAGGCGATCTCTGTGAGTTCGAGGCCAGCCTGGTCTACAGTGAGTACCAGGACAGCCTCCAAAACAATACAGAGAAACCATGTCTTGAAAAACCAAATAAGGAAGGAAGGAAGGAAGGAAGGAAGGAAGGAAGGAAGGAAGGAAGGAAGGAAGGAAGGAAGAAGGAAAGATAGCCCTGTCTGTCAGAAAATAAAGCTTGCATAATTTGACCAAAGAATTTGGATAATGGTTTTCACTCTCATTCAGTGATTAGCAAAGGGTTTTGTTTTGTTTTGTTTTTTTCTTTTGACCATACCAAATTGAATTTACAGAAGCAGGACAGCTGGGAATATGAATTAAGGCAAGATTCAACATACAATTCATACTTATCAGCACCTCATAGTACAATTAGCATACTGACTTCTATGTATCAAAAACATTATTTTAAAGTAATGCAATGTTTATAGCTGTACTAAACTAACTCAGGGTAGGATGTGTAAAAACACAGTTTCAGAGAGAGAAAAAGAGAAGGGCAAAAAGCTGATTCATTACCTGGAGATACTTCTTCTTTCTGCCTGACTGTGTGGTCTTTTGTGAACTTCACCCTCTGGTGAGCTCTAATACATGTTTTGCAGAGCCATTCGACACACTCTACACAAAACCCATTAGCTTCTGCGTTGTCTTCACAGCTTGTACATACCTTATAATAAAAGAATCTGGTCACATAAATTGTTGAAAAATATTAAAAATAAAATACCAGCCAAATAGACTATTAGTTTTCTTATGTTATTCTATGATTAAATTAATACCATGTATTAAACTATATGACTATAAAATGAAGATATTGTGCAGAAGAATTGTCTTTTTAGATAAGGTCTCACACACTATGTATTCCTGGCTAACCTGGAACTCACTATTTAGACCACACTGGCCTTCCATTCATAACATGACACCAACTGTCTCGGCCTCCTGAGATCTAGGATTAAAGGTGTGCAACACCAGACTAGACAAAGATTACTTAAAAACATTTCTCCTTAGGTTTTAGATTGATATACTAGACAGTCCAGGCGCTAGGCAATGATACATGTAGGAATCATCTCAAGGGAAACTGAACTCAGGACCTCTGGAAGAGCAGCTAGTGCTCTTAATCACCAAGCCATCTCTCCAGCCCTGGATTCAGGTCATGTTTTATCACAGTAACAGAGAGCATACTACAACAGACTGTATCCTTGGACTATGATCCAAAATAAATCCTTTTCTCCTTAAATTGCTTCTGTTGGGGAATTTCATCAAAACAGTTCAAGAAACTCAGGAGGAACAGTGTCAGAGGGAAGCCTGAGCCTCGGGCCCAGGAGCACATGTCAGAGAGAGGCCCAACCCTCAGGCCTGGGAGCAGAGAGCGACCACAGGGTGATGACAGCAACAGATTCCAGCAGCGGCTTCCAGAAGCTATGGCAAGCTCATCTTGTAAAGAGCGCCTGTGTCTTAGCCAGCACCCACTGCCATTTCTCTCTTGGAGATAAACTGCTGCTACAGCCACCAATGGACCCTCAGACCCACCTACACCTAGAGGAGCAATCACCAGAGACAAGGCCCCGCCTCCAATGGGAGGAGCTACACTGGAAATGTAGCCCCACCTGCACCTCAAGGAGTGACCACCAGAGGAAGTGGGCCACTTCCACCAGGACATCACCAGAGGCCCTGCTCTGTTTGCACCTGGAGGAGCAATCAACGGAGCCACAGGTCCCCATTACACCGACTGGAGAAAGAGACCCCCTCAAGCACAAGCTCCACCTATGCTGATTAAAGGAAGAGATGCGTAGACAACAAGGTAAGAGCACACTCAACATTATAAAGAGCAACACAGCATCACTAGAAAGTAGTGGTGCTACAGACAACAGCAAGACCTGATCATCCCAATGCATATGAAGCAGAAGAAAATGACCCTAAAACAACTTTGAGGATGATTGAGGTCCTTAACGAGGAAATGAAAAATTCCCTTAAAAAAATGGAGGAAAAGACTAACAAAAAAATTGGAAGAAATTGACAAATCTCTTAAAGAAAACCAAGAAAAAACAATCAAATAAATTAAGGAAACAATTCAAAACTTAAAATCTGAAATAGAGGCAATAAATACAAATGGAGGGAATTCTAGAAATGAAAAATCTGGGTAAATGAACAGGAATCACAAATACAAGCATAAACAACAGAATACAAGAGAAGGAAGAGAGAACTTCAGGTGTTGAAGATAGGATAGAGGAAACAGATTCATTGGTCAAAAATTTTAAATCCAACAAATACTTAGCACAAAACATGCAGGAAATCTGGCATGCCATAATAAGACTGAACCTAAGAAGAAGTCCAAATCAAAGGCACAGAAAATATATTCAACAAAATCATAGAAGAAAACTTTCCCAACCTAAAGAAGAACATGCCTATGAAAGTACCGGAAGCTTACAGAACATCAAATAGACTGGACAAAAAGAAAAAAAAGTCCCCTCCTGCCACATAAAAATCAAAACACTAAACATAAAGAATAACGAACGAATATTAAGGGCTGCAAAGGAGAAAGGCCAAGTAACACATAAAGGCAGACCTATCAGAATTACACCTGACTTCTCAATGGAAACAATGAAAGCCAGAAGGTCCTAGACAGATGTTAGGCAAACACTAAAAGACCAGGGATGTCAACCCAGACTACTATACCCAGCAAAACTTTCAATAACCATAGATGGAGAAAACAGATATTCCATGATAAAACAAGATTTAAATGATACCTACCCACAAATCCAGCCCTTCAGAAAGTGCTGGAAGGAAAATCCCAACCCAAGGAAGTCAGCTACATCCAGAAGAACACAGGCAATAGATGAGTTTATTATAGCAGCAAATCCCAAAGAGAACTGGACACACAATGTCATCACCAACAACAAAAACAAAACTGACAGGAACTAGCAATCACTGGTCATTAATATCCACTAATATAAATAGTCTCAAAACACCTACAAAAAGACACAGGCTAATAGATTGTTTTCTGGATATGAAAACAGAATCCATCCTTCTGTTGCATAAAGGAAACACATCTCAGCCTCAAAGACAGACATTACCTCAGAGTAAAGGGTTGGAGAAAAATTTTCCAAACAAATGGACCTAAGAAACAAGCTGGCGTTATCTATCCCAATATCTAGAAAAATAGACTTCAATCTAAAAATCAGTAAACAGATAAAGAAGGGCATTCATATTCATCACAGGAAAAATCCATCAAGAGGAAATCTCATTTATGAACATCTATGCTCCAAACACAAGGGCTCCTGCATTTGTAAAAGAAACATTACTAAAGCCTAAATCACAAATCAAGCCCCATGTGGGAGACCTCAACACCCTACCCTCACCACTGGACAGGTCTGCCAGGCAGAAGCATAACAGAGAAATAAGGGAACTAACAGGTGTTATAACTCAAATGGACTTAATAGACATCTATAGAACATTCCACCCAAACATAAAAGAATATACTTTCTTCTAAGTATCTCATGGAACCTTCTCAAAAATAGACCACATACTTGATAACAAAGCAAACCTCAACTGATACAAAAAAAAATTGGAATAACCCCCTGTTATCCTATCGGATCAACACAGCTTAAAGGTAGAATTCAGAAGTAGCATTAATTTCAGAAAGCCCACAAACATATGGAAATTGAACAATGATCAGCTGAATCACCTCTGGGTCAAGAAGGAAATAAAGAAATTAAAGACTTCCTAAAATTTAATGAAAATGACTGCACAACATTCCCAAACTTATGGGACACTAGGAAAGCAGGGATAAGAGGAAAGTTCACAGCACTAAGTGCCTGCATAAAGAAGCTGGAAAAATCCCACACTAGTGAATTAACACAACAAGGAGCAAACTCACCCAGAAGGAGAAGATGGCAAATGGAGGGCTGAAATCAATAAAAGAGAATCAACAACAACAACAAAAATCAATACAAAAAAAAAATCAATGAAAAGAGTTGGTTTCTTAAGAAATTCAACAAAATAGGCGAACCTTTATCCAAACTAACCAGAAGACAGAGAGAGCATATCCAAATTAACAAAATCAGAAATGAAAAGGGGGACATAACAACAGACACTGAGGAAATCCAGAGAATCCTCAGGCCATACTTCAAAAACATGTACTCCACAAAATTGGACAACTCAATAAAATACTGGCGAATCGATTCAAAAACACATCAGAAAAATTATCTACCATGGCTGTTGTAATTTAAGAAAGTGGTACATGAGAGAAAGACATCATGTGACAAGGTTCAAGCAGAGGGTTTTTTTTTAAATAGGGAAAGGAATCATGAAAAGGGGAAAGGGATGGGGGGGAGACTGGTTTCTAGAGACATGAGCAGTAAGAGAGAGGAGAAAGGAAAGATGGGGGAGAAAGAAAGGGGGGAGGGGGCAACAGAGGGAGAGAAAGAAAAAGTGGGAGAGAAGGATGGGAGGTGAGCAGGGCCCTTTTAAAAGGGAGCATATTAAATATGCACAGGTGGTGTTCTTAGTGGCTGCAGCTGAGGGTGTATCCTGTCAGAACCCCAAGGACAGGCCAGTACAGATGCCTGAATACTAACAATAGCCAAGTACGCTTCATCCTAGAGCTGCAGCAATAGTTCAACATATGAAAATCCATCACTGTAATTCACCATATAAACAAACTGAAGGAAGAAAAACACATCATCATCTCATTAAATGCTGAAAAGCCCTACAACAAAACTCAACACCCCTTCATGATAAAGGTCTTGGAGAGAATAGGAATACAAGGAACATACCTAAACACAATAAAGGTAATATACAGTAACCCTACAGCCAACATCAAACTAAATGAAGAGAAACTCAACGAGATCCCACTGAAAGCAGGAACAAGACAAGGCTGTCCACTCTCTCCAATATCTACTCAATATAGTACTGGAAGTTCTAGCTAGAGCAGCAGGACAAAAGAAGATCAAGGGGAATGCAAACTGGAAAGGAAGAAGTCAAACTCTTGCTATTTGCTGCTGCTGCTAGCTTACATAAGTGACCCCAAAAATTCTACCAGATATCTCCTACAACTGATAAACACATTCAGCAGGTGAAGAAGAGAGTAGCTAACATATGCATCTAGGTGAAGAAGAGAGTAGCTAACATATGCATCTAGCTGGCAACACTCTCTGAGTATCTTTGTAGCTGGAAACAAAAATGCACATCATTCACAAGTTACCAAATCCCAAATATCTGTTATTTGCAAGAACCAAAAACCTGCCTTTTCTTAGGGCTTATCTCCTTCACCTTTTTTCACACTGTTGATGAGTGCTTGCCAGTGCCAGTAATTACTTCTACAATCTACCAACCCTCTGTTTTTTCAATGCCACTTCTCTTCTTCTGATTTTGTGGCGTTTTTGCTAGATCTAGGGATATCCTTAAGTTCAAATATTGTGTCTACAAGGATGCCACTTAAATTTCTAATCTTCCACTGTAGGCTACAGAAAGGAATGAGGAATGTCTAATATGCACTGCTCCTGATCTCTAGTAAATGAAATAAAATATAAAATACGCTGGGTGTTGGTGGCGCACGCCTTTAATCCCAGCACTTGGGAGACAGAGGCAGGAAGAACTCTGTAAGTTCGAGGCCAGCCTGATCTACAAGAGCGAGTTCCAGGACAGCCTCCAAAGCTGCAGAGAAACCCTATCTTGAACAACAAAAAACAAAAAAACAAAAAATATATATAGTACAAAATAGGGAGAAGATGTGGTAATACTGGTCATACTGGGAGGGAAGCAAGAATATTATAAGTTCAAGGCCACCCTGGGCTGCATGGCAAGAGCCTATTGAAAAAACAAACAAACAAACCCCAGTAAGGTATGAGGTAAGTGTCCTCAAGAAGCCTAGAAAAATTTCCAACTCATAGTCTCCAAAATCAGTTTCTATGTTTTTTACTCTTAGAGCAGGCCATTGAGCCCAGGGTCTCCTGCATGCTACACACTACATCTGACATAACCCATAGCCAATTCCATTATTTAAATCTGGTTTCACAAGGAGATAGTTTATCCCCTACAGCAAACCCAATTTGGTCTTTGAGGAGCAATGTGGTCACTGTAAAAACAATAGGATTATAATTAGTGTTGACTAAGTCCTTTTATAAGTAAAATGAACCCTAAATTCCTATAGTTACAGCTCAGGAACAAAAATGTTGAATGAAAAGGGGAGCACAGAAACTCATCACACATAGAAAAGAATTCCTGATGGATAAAATTAATATTGTTTTTCCTAACTAGAACTAGATTTAGTTTTTTCCTGGATCTGTTATGAATGAAAGGAACCATGTAGGAAACACCACTGAGTCAAAACTCACATGTACATTAATTTACTATACTTGGCACATGCAAGGGAATTCACCTTAAAAGGGCTACTCTGTGAGAGAATACCACAGATTCTCTCTAGGGGATAGAGTATCTACAGTCAAGCTTAAAGGAGTGAAAAAAAGATATTGTTGCACATCTAAATTCAGCACCTTGGACAACGCCACTAAGCTTTCAAGCAACACCATGAACCCAAGATTTTGTTAAACATATAAACCTCCGAGTATGAGAGATAGCTAAGCGTGTAGAGTTGTTTCCTGAACAATGATGTAAGCCTGATGACCTAAGATAGAGTCCCAGAATACACATAAAAATGGAAGGAGAAAAGCTGGGTGGCAGCGGCACATGGCTTTTAAAATCCCACCACTAGGAGGCAGAGGCCAGCCTGGTCTAAAAAGCAAGTTCCAGGATAGTCAGGGCTGTTACACAGGCAAACCCTGTCTTGAAAAACCTAAATAGAAGGAAGGCAGGCAGGCAGGCAGGCAGTTAGGTAGGTAGATAGGATAAGATAAAATGGAAGGAGAAAAACCAACTTCACAAAGTTGTCCATTGATTTTATAGCTATCAAGTATGCACGGACTAAAAATGATTTTTTAATGCAGAAATCTTACTGATCAAAAATACAAGGTATTTTAGGTGATCAATGGTACAGTTTAAAAAAGGAGGCTGGGGCTACAGAGACAGCTCAGCAGCTAAAAGCACATTTGCAGATCTTGTACAGGACCTGGGTTAGGTTCCCAATACTCTCAAGAGGTTGGCTATTGTCTTTAACTCAAGTTCCAGGGGATGAGACGCCCTCTTTTGACCTCCACAGGCACTGCACACATGTAGTACGCCTACTGGAGTGCAGGCAAAACACCAATACACAGAAAAATAAATCTTATTAAAAGGAATAAAGTAACGATTTCAACACCCAGTAACTCCGTAGTAAGAAATTAAATAATGCTAAATACAGCATTGTTTCTCTGTAGCATACAGAAATATGATAAAAATCATGGGCACAGTTTTCATTCCTAACCTCAACTATTCACTATTGTACATACACTTAAAAAAGATGTAATTTTGTACATTAATGTTCTAAAATTTGGCTTTTTATATAGACTACTCCTGCATTTAAGCTGCTTCATCATAGGTTGTGAAGGTTTAAATTTACACTTACCTGATTAGATTTTTCTACTGTACTACTGGGTACCTCAGTAGTGTCCTTCACAAAAAAGTTGTCTATGATGTGTCTCTCGGCACATTCTTGACTGCAAACTGGGCATCGAATGACTCCAACTGGAAAAGACAAAATTGAATTTGAAGTTTAATATACTGAGACTACCACATCTCATTTAAACTTTAACTGGATGGAATTTTTGTTCCTAATAATTTTAAAGTTCATAATTGCTTTCTAAGTTCATTAGGAGAGAGAGAGAGAGAGACAGAGAGACAGAGAGAGACAGAAACAGAGACACAGAGAGAGAGAACACACTATACATACTAAATACACTAAATGCTGGTGAGACCATGGATCTTAGAGGAGAATCTGCCATCATCACTTTACTGAATCAGTATACTCCCTAACTGCACTCTAAATATTTAACCTAACACCACAGATAAATGTAGTTTTTACCGGTTAAAATTCAAAGAACAAGTGATCATGAAGTGTCCAGCTAAGACCTGGGACATTGTGGAAGAGGGAGCAAAAAAGACCGTTTGAGCCAGAAGACCAGAAATCTACTGTGAGAACAGGTCTCCTAGAAATGACAAAGCAAAGCAGTATGACTGTCTAAACAAGACCTGAAGAAGAGCAGTACAACACCATCCTAACATGAAAGGGAAATTTCATAAGGACACACCCACAGGCAACAAAATAATGCACGAGGCAAGAGAAACAGTTTTCCCTAGAGATGATGCCCCTAATTGGTTCTCTAATTTCAAGTGTTCAGCCATGAAATCACACAAGTAACACTAAACTGACTGAGCAGGTATATTTACATATTTAGGCACAGACACACACACACACATGAGGCCATGATTTCCAGATGGAGTCTGGGGGATACATTGAATAAATTAGAGAGATGAAAGGGAGGGGGAAAATAATATAAACTTAAGTAAAAAAATGTATTTCATAATAACAAAATATTATGAACTTAAGAGTAAACTTCATGCCGGCGTTGATGGCGCATACCTTTAATCCCAGCACTAGGGAGGCAGAGGCAGGCTGATCTCTGTGAGTTCGAGGCCACCCTGGTCTACAGAGTGAGTTCCAGAATGGCCTACAAAACAATACAGAGAAACCCTGTCTTGAAAAACCAAAATAAATAAATAAGCTTCACAAGATATGAGGTTATTGCTGAGAAAAATACATTATAAAACAAAAACTTTAAATAATGAAGAAAACATGTTCAATATAGCTACACATCAAGGTAGCTTATGGTTTTTACTAAAATTTTGTTTGGAAAACATGTCTATTAAATAATGACGCTTAACTACTGAGCCTTAGGTAAATAACATGGTATTTTTGTAAAAATAAGCAAAATTAGAACTGAATATGCACACCAGAAGATCTATGTTAACTGATGTGGCACTAGAAATAAGCAGGAAAACACATTAACTCTCTAAGTTGCTGGGATGGCCACTATTTGATTACACTGTGAACCTGAAATTGTTATTTACTGGAAAAACCTGTTTCTAGGTGTGGTGTGGCTCAGCCCTAGCACACACCTTGAATCCAAGAGCTTTCTGTTGAATATTGTAAACAGGATTAAATAAAGCGAACCTTAGGTCAAGAGGCAGAGTAAGCAACAGTTGACAGGAAGTGAACATAAGGAAACAGAGTAAGAGGGAGCCAGGAGGATGGCTAAACAGAGGCACAGGAAGTAGAAGGGAGGGATATTCAGTCTGAAGCTTTTGTTTGAGACGGTAGAAGAGGAAGGCAATTTCTTTGGGGGCATGGGCTGAGGAGGAAGGTCAGCTAGCGCTTCCTTCCTGTCTCTCTGGGCTAGCAGGCTTTCATCCCAGTATCGGGCTCCTGAGCCTTTACTGACAAAATCCAATGACTGAGATATAGTCAAAAATAACATTTGGTGCTCCAACGTGTTGCATGGCCACACGGACTAAGAAATCACACAGGCTGAGTACAAACTAAGACATCAGTGAGACACCTGGGAAATTCTCAAGGAGAGTTAAGCAATATTAAAAGGAAAAATCTTTCCCACATTAAGGATGGGAAACATCATAAAAACAGGGCATTAGGACTCTGTATAGTACGACTTGAAAAGGCTTGAAAATAGAAGCAGAAAATGAAAAGATAAATGACAATATTGAGATTGACATAATACTGACTATAATTACTATCAGTCTGGTAATTCATATTTTATCCTTAATAGCCATTGTGGTTTTTTTGCCAAATATGAAAAGTGGATAAGATTCAAGCCTTAGAAAGACTTATGAGAATAAGAAAAACACTCAGACACAGAAGAATTTAGAAAGAACCTACTGTGTGACTGCATGATAAAACTGAAGGTGAGACCCAAGGTTCTCAGAAAACCAACCTTAGTTTATCCAGTTACTATACAAAAAGGGTCAGCAGGTCATAGGACCCATAAGGTTATCAACAAGTTAAAAGGGATCCTACAGAAATACTAGATTTAAGAAAATTTAAGGTTATTTCACATAGTATGCATTCACCCTTGGTCAAGCAGTTATTAAATTTAGGGGCAATTAAGAATAGAATTATCCCCACAAGACTGGAAACATCTGGCAACAGTGATATTGGAACATAGTCCCCAGTTACAATGGAGCAGATGGTGGAAAGAGAACATTAGGGGCATAGAACAACGAAACAGTGTTAGAGGCATTGATATTTCCCAAGATCTGTTTTTAGGTGAGGGTCAATAACTTGAGATACAGAGAAAGTTTGAACCTGATGATCACAGCTTGGTGCTACGCTACAAGGAGCTTTGAATGCTTGGGAAAAGTTTAAAGAATCAGGAAAGAGGTCTGAGTCATTTACTAAAATTACACAAGGCCAAAAGAAGCTTTCGCCAATATTTTTTTCTAACAAAATTTGACCTCAGCTGTAAATACAATAGTATCAGATTCAGAAGTCAGACAAATATTAGTCAAATCTTTGGCTTTTGGAAATGCTAATTTAGAACGTCAAAGGGTGATTCGGCCTTTAAAAAGGCAAGATCAGCACCCATAGAGGAATGAATCAGAAATACAGTTGATATTGAACCCCGTACTTCTAATGGTGATACTTGTAACTGAGCACTGTTTTCTAAAAATTGTGATAGACAAGGACATCTGAAAAGGGAGCCTAGGCAAGGTGGTCCTAGTAACAATATTGTAGAAGTGATTCAAATGGAAGACTCCCAGCCTTCTGGAGTAAGCAGAAGGTGTGGCAAAGGCTGGCATTATACCAATGAATGCAGATAAGGGGCAAGCAGGGTAACCCTTTGCCATTGGGAAATGCCCCGAGGGACCTCCTGTAAGCCCCAATATCAAATCTGGTTCAATCATTCCCCACCAGCATTGGAGAAACTCATCCACAGAGCAATTAAAAGACATACCTGTTATTAAAAACAACACTGCTCTGGATGTAATCTATGACAGAACAGCTTCAGTAAATAAAACAAAAAAATTCAGAAGAGACTAGAAAACTAGAAGTATTTTGACAAACTGCTATAAATGCTAAAGTATAAGTGGCACTGAATTGAAGATTTAGTAGACACATGAGCAGATATGTAACAATAATTTCACCCAAATCTCGGCATCCAAATTGGCCTCTTCAGAAAATATTCAGATTCTAGGGAGTAGAACTTTATCTCAAGTAGAACAAAGAGTAAGACAGGTTGAGTATATAGGACTAGAAGGACAAATGGGAAAATTAAAATCCTATGTGGCTAATATAGCCATAAATTTATGGAGCTATAATTTGTTGCAACAATGGATAAACAGATTAACATCCCTCCAGTCTCAGAAACAAACCATGCTTATGAAAAAAGTATTAAAAGGAATAATTAAGAACAGTCACAGACCTTTCAGGTTGTTTATTTTTCAGAGGTACCAACAGCCTCACCTTTAAAGTGATTAACTGACAAACCTGTGTGGGTGGAACATCAGAAAAACCACATGTGGCTTGCCTGGATCCAAAGCTTGATTGTATTTCAGCTATTTTACCTTATTTTCATTCTCTATCTGGCATTCTTACCCAGAGATAATATTACAATGGCTTTTTAGCACACAGAGTAAAAAATTAAAGACCTGTGTAGAAAAGGTTTCTAAGTTGATTCTGAAAGGAAAAATGAGACTTCATCAATTAGCAGGAGTAGACCCAGCAAAAATTGTGGTACCTTTTACTAATGCTGAAACTGCCTTATTATGGGCAGAAAATGAACATTGGCAAAGAGCTTGCAGTAATTTTTTGGCAGACATTAACAACAAATATCCAAAAGCAAAAGACTTCAGTTTATAAAAAGTCAGCAGACTGACAACAACATTTTACAGAACTTTAAACTCAAAACCACTCAATCCTAAGACTGCCAAATACAACCAAGATAGACATTGTGGAAAGTTTGGCAGAGACAGCTTCATTATTGTAAGTTAGTTACTTCCTAAGTTCTTCCTCAAGGGCTATATTAATTTCTAAAATGCTAATAAGAAAAGAACAACAGCTGCAGAGAGTCATTGGATGGCAGAAAAAGAAACTGAATTAAATCAGCCTCTACATTTTAAAGATATGTTGACCTCAGAATGGAAACTAGGATTTGTGTTGCTTTGGGGAAGAGGTTTTACATTTGTTTCCACAGGAAAAGAAAAGCTGTGGATACCGTCAACATTAATAAAAATTAAATTCAAACAGGAGAGACATCATGAATAAGGAGAGGTGATAGTTCATTAGACAGCTGGTCATTCAATCCAGACTAACTTTTAAAGAACAAATGTCTTTCATTTGATCAGGTATGAAAAAATAGTATTTTTGAATGATAATTTATCAAAGGCACTCGCCTCACTGGCAATGAAATGGTTCTTAAACCACATGTCTTAATTCCTTGTCAGAATGTTTGAGTTTTCTTTTTAAATAAAAATGTTTTCTTGTCTGGTATTAAAAACAGTTAAGAAATACAAAATGTTTTAAGTAAATTCAAAGGGTTATAATAGTTCAAACTTGGTTTCTAAATCTGTAAGAGTTGGAGTGATTTGGAGCTAAGACCAAATATTTTAGCAATGAGGTGGTAGCCATTGCCTTTAATCCCAGCAGAGACAGAGAGATCTCTATAAATTAGCTG